AACCCATGAGCACCGAGTTTTGAGCCCTGGACGGAGTATCACCTCGTACTCCCCACCACCCTCACGTGGCCCTCAGCCTCAAGCTCATGCCCGTTCGGGGTGTAATGTCTCGTAGTCATCCCAGCCCCCAAGCGGGGTGAGAGTGACGAGCCCCTCAAAGTTGATGCTCACACCACCTCGATGACATCGGGGCAGGTACGGTAGGTAGCGCGGTTTTTGGAGGGAAGGTGGTGCCGGGGAGCTTGAGGTAAATCGCATTGCCGAGAACCATGAATCTTTGCTAGCTGCCTTGAGAATGAGCACCACTCCACCATGCTAGTCGGTCACGAGGTTGAGACTGAACTCTGCTAGCTCGAGCTGTTTTTCTAAAGGATCTCTGCTAGCCTGCTCGCGCTTCCTCATCGGTCCCGTCCAGCCTGCCCTCGTTTCCCCTACCTCGCTTCCTCAATGACCCTTGCTAGCATGCCCAATCTCAAAACCCCTTAAATTCATCAATTTCAGTTTAATTCCACGAATCTCATCGTTTAATTTCAATCTAAATTTAAATTCGTCACGCCTCAAAAACCCCAAAGTCCATTTCGACCCCCAAAAATCCTCTTTGATCGGCACCGCTCGTGCTCCCGAGTCTCAACAAAAACCACGAGATTAAAACGATCGAAAAAAAGATAAAATGCCTTTGGATTGCCGGGGGAGAAGTGGGCGTGGCCAGGGAGGGTGGGATGGTCCACCTGTTCATCTCCCTCCCCCAGCCCATATTTTCCTATTTCGTGCCCCTTTCTGCTGGCTGTTCAGGGAGGGGGAGCCCCGGCCTTCCCCCCACCAGAAAGACAGTCTTTTTCAATCTCATACTCCCCGCTTGCTTTCCTTCCTCTTGCTCCTCTCCCCCAGGAGTCGCACTCATCGATTTGCATCCAAACGGCTTGGATCCGGGATTTAGCGAGAGGTCGGCTAGCAGAGATCATTTGCGGAGCCGGGTTTATTAGTGCGTATATGGCCAACTAGCAGAGATCATTGAGGAATCCAAATATTTCGATCTTTCCTGGTCGTGCTCCTCTTCCGCCAGGAGCAGCACTCATAGATTTTGATCCAAATGGCTTGGATCCGGGATTAAGCCAGAGGTAGACTAGCAGAGACCATTTGCGGAAAAGCCTTCCATTCGTTCGCTCACCAATATTAGGACAAGCTAGCAGAGATCCTTGAGGAATCCTAATATTTCTCACCTTCCTCCTCGTGCTCCTCTTCTTCCCCCAGGAGCAACAGTCATCGATGTGCAGCCAAATGGCTTGGATCCTGGATTTTTGGGCCTCAGGCGGGCTAGCAGAGACCATTTGCGGATCAACCTATTAGTGCGCTGATAAATGTTAAGAATAATTTCTTTTTCGTTTTATTTTGCAAATTTTCCGGGCAGGTTGGCAGAAGTCCTTGAGGAATGTCCAAAGTTCCGCAACAATCCACGTCACGATTCGTATCATTTCCCATCTTTTCGTCGAGAGATCTCGTTTTCCCGAAAGTTCATGATATCATCAGTGTGATCAGGCTACTTTTGAAAATTGCCCGATCCTCGAAAGTCAGTTGTTTTTCTCAGTTTTGTTAATCTTAAGAAAAGGGTTACTGCTAGATAGCGAAGTTTTATGCCTAAAACGCACTAATGGCAATCCATTTTCAAGGATCTCTGCTAGCTTGCCTGCTCCTTGAAAAAGTTATGGGACTAAAAGATCGAGGTTCTTCGAAATTTCCGCAAATTCTCTTTGCTAGCCTGTCCTAGCCTCAAGCTCTATTCCGAAATGATTTCTGCTAGTTAGCCTTGGTGCCCAAAAATCTAGATTTACTACCAAAACACAGTATACTTTTTATCAAAATACAATGCGCTTTTAAAAGCAAAAAACTACTAATTCCCCCATTGCTTTAACATTTCCTGAGTACTACTCACTCCTCCGAACACACAATAATATTTGCGATGCTCGTGCCATCAGGAAAAGCTGTAGATTCCCCGTCACCCCACTTTGACTGCGACTTCCTGGAAAACAAAAGTTGTCGCTGGCAGGGAAGGGGAGTGGAGGGAGGAGAAGAAGCTCTTGCTTTTTCAGATCCCCATGGCCCGATTACACCATTTGATGGGGGCCCTGAAGAGGGCCCACAGAGGGGCCAAGTTCGACCGAAAAAACTCGGCTTGGACCTGGGGGGCCTGGGGGCTCTAGTTTCAAGTGACCAGCTGCCTTGCCGGGCAGCCGGAAAAGTTCATCTCCAGGCCGGCTAGCTGGGACTAAAACGATTTTCTATAGTTTCTAGCTTTTTTCTGGACCATCTTTGCTCGCCTGCCTGTTGCTAGATATTTCCTAAGGAACCTCTGCTAGCTTGCCTATTTTTCGGCCTCCAAAACGCCAAATTTTTTATTGTTGCTACCATAACTCGAAGATTAATGTAGCTACCGAGCTCAAAGTTTGCATGTATGTTTCACTGACTATTCAAGATATCTTACCAAAATTTGAACATTATCGGATGTAAAATGACAATTTTATGACCTAAATCCTTTTTAGCTTGAGTTTTTTTTGGTGCTCTAAATCTCGAAATGAATTTTGCGGGTATTATTATGTCTATTAATGCGCGTTTGAGTTAGTCCATTTCACCAATGCGGATCGCGACCACTGTTGTGACATTTTATGGCCGCTTTACAGCCCCTTCTCCCAGCCGGCAGCGCCGATCTTTGCGGTGCCGTCCTGGCTGTGCTTTGGTTCCTTGTGAAATTTGCGTCTATTTTTTGATTTTTAGGGACCTAGATATTCCGCAAAATCTCAGCTAGCTTGCCTTGTTTCAATTTTACGGGTTCCAGCTAGTTTCATGCGCTCAAAAATCCGAAAAAAAAAATTGATTTTTGAAGTCGAAAACAAGGCTTTACATAATTTCTATAGCTTTCAAATGCTTAGAAGATTATTTAGATAATAACATGTGTTTTTATCCCAATTCTGTACTTTCTACACGCCTTTACCACCCATTCCTATCGACGATGGTAACGGATACCCCTGGATTGGCCCCCACCGGATCTCATGACGTCACCCTCATCGGGGGTCCTGTCCAAATCTACCCCACCTTTGATTTTCTTTGCGGGACCATCATCATATCAGCGCTGACCTTTCCCACTTTCCGACGCGCTTAATTGCACTTCACATCGTCTGTCTCTGGCCGATTTTTCTGATGATTTAACTTGTTTTTATTGACGGGGAAGGAAGTTCGTGTGTACCTGTAAGTCTCTCACTCTCTCTCCCTCTTCCTCTCTCTCACTCCAGCTCTCTTTCGCCTGTTCATGCTTAATAGATGCTACCTCCTTGTTTATGCCACTGCAGCTCGTATTTCTTGTTTTCTGTTGCTCGTTCTTCCCTCTCTCGTTCTCTCTCTCTCTCTCTCTCTCTCTCACCCCACGTGGCTCTATTTCGGTCGAGGTTAACTAGGGCCAGCTGTCCGTTACGACCTTGGTTTGGAAATCTGCCTGCGGTCAAGCTAGGGCGAGAGAGAGAGAGAGCGAGTCAGTAACCATGTGTTTTGTTGTTTTTCTGCCCCACATTCCCTCGATTATTCCGTTCCCCTCCTTTCAACATCTCCATATTTCGAAACCCTCTCCTTACAGTTGATTTCTATTCAGGTGCATGCACCCCCGACGGCCATTCCCACGACAGCCAACGATTTTCCGATAGATCCGCCACAACAGGGGCCCATTCTCCCCTTTCTTGAAGAAACGAAGAATTTGACTATATTTGTTGTTGACAAAAATACGGGATGTCTACTGTACAGGTGCGTACTGGTCTATTGTTTCGGAAAATTTTTTGGAGGTATTATTGCTCTTTAAAGGTGCTTTAAAGCGATAGGTAACCTTTGAGAAGGCTAAAAATTAAAATAACACTGGTTTTTGTGGAGCTGTAAAGCCGTTTTTAGCTCGTCAGGTCTTCAGAGTCAGGGGAAGACTAGCAGAGACCATTTGGGAGTCGAAAACTGCCGTATTTTTCAGGGCAAGCTAGCAGAGACCTCTTGCGAATTCGGGGCAGGCTGGCAGAGCTCCTTTGCGAAATTGAGGCAGGCTAGCAGAGACCATTTCAGGAACCGTGAACGCCTAAAATTCCAGGCAAGCTAGCAGAGATCATTTGGGAATTAAGGCAAGCTAACAGAGATCATTTAAGAAATGGTAGCACCCAAAAACTAGGGCAGCTAGCAGAGACCATTTAGGAATCCAGGGCAAGCTAGCAAATTTCTTTTGTGGGACCGGAAGTACTCAGAAATCTAGGCAAACCAGCAGAGGCCATTTGCGAATCCCGAATTTTTCTATTATTTCCGGAAATAGCGAGGGATTCCCCGGGCGCCTATCACTTTTCAGTAGAGTTGTTATAACTCAAACAACAAACAACAAATTATTCAAACAACTCAAACAAGTTTGCTTTGTTTGAGCTCGAAAAGTTTCAAACAAAACAAACTTGTTTGATTTGAGTTCCAGGGGGATCAAATCAAACAAGATTGCTTGACTTGTTTGAACTTGTTTGAGCACCCTAAGCGGTGAGATTTTTGGGGATTTTGGATGGATCGGAAGCGAATTCAAACATTCAAAAACAATTTTTACCGGAAAAATTTATGCAAATTGCGAAAATGCTGAAAAATCACGTTTTAAATCCAAAATTAGCATACGTTTCAAACAAGGTCAAACAAAACTCAAACTGCTCAAATAGTTCAAACAATCTTGTTTTGTTTGATCGATCAAAGGTCATCTCAGACAAAACATGTTTGATTTGAATCTCCAAAAATCCTATCAAACAACGTTGTTCAAACAAGATTGTTTGAGGCCTTGTTTTGTTTGAGTTATAACAACTCTACTTTTCAGTCCCCCCAGTTGAGTGCAAGATCGGGAAACGCTTTTTCGCGAAAATTCTCTAGCCATTTTTCACCTGGTTTTTGGTCATCTAAACCATAAATCAGGCTTTTTGTAGTTTGCACCTTTCAAAACGTTTTTTTTTTAGAAAATGCGGGTTCCCCTTTCCGTGGACCCGGTGAAAATGGAGCTACCTTCGACGAGTGACGAGCCGCCACGCGAGAAAATGTCCTTCCAGTACACGTGGCCGCTGCGTATTTCCAAGAGGTGGGTACTGGGTTTTTTAAAGGGGTGGTGACAGATAGAAAATTGTTAAAAAGAGGCCACGTCCACTTTAAAGGGAGCGTGACAGCTATGAGGGGCGTAGAAGGATTATCAGTGGGGAACAAATGGTGCGTTCGGTGGAACTGTGGAATTGTTTCTAAAGCGGGTTTTACGGTTCTTAAGCCTATCAACCCTGCAAATTTTGTTAAAAAACTACTAAAACTGGTTCAGGTTTACTAAGAAAACTTTTAAAACACTTACTATCGGTTAATAGAAATTTCCGGACATCTAGACTGAAATCTGCCCCCCACGATAATGCAAAAGTACCGATTTTTTGATACCATCTGAAACATTTTTAAGTCCTGAACGAAGCGGAAAATCTTGTTAACTTTTTCTCCAATCAATCCACTCAAATTTCCGCCAAATCCCTGCCATTTCCCCTCGTTTTTCCAATCCCGAGGCGCAAAACATCTCCGGGGAGAAAGCCGACTTTCCCGAGGGGGTATATGGATAGATAAATGATGATAGGTGAGGCGTTGATAGGATCCCTCCGGAAATACACGCACACTCACAGCGAGAGACAACAAATCCATCTATCCATCTGCCCCATCCACTGGGTGGCTGTCATCCTCAACGAGGCAGTGTTTGGCACCCCGGGTATTTGCCACGGGAATTCCACACGGGCCCTCCTATTGTAACGTGCCGTGTGGATACACATGCCCCCAGGGCGTGTGTATCTCAGGATGCCATCACACAAGAACCCAAAAATAATCTCTCGACCCGGGGCTCAAAAATTGCTAAACAAACGGGATGGGTTCGAGAAGTTCAGGCGAGCAGGCTTCGGCATTGGGGAATTGGAAAAGGCGGATTGGAAGAGCGCACCACTCGCGTCGGGGGCTTGGCAAGCTAGCAGAGATCACTAGGGATTGGAAAATGGTCTGCTTTGTACTTGTCGAAAGTCGGGGTAAACCATAATCTCGCTGGCCCTGATTTTCTCGCGCTCCCGCTCTCCCCCCTCTCTCCGTCATTATCCTTCGCCCTCTTTCTCTCTCTGTCTCTCTCTCGCTCCCTCTCCCTCTCTCTCACGCTCTCGCTCACTCTCTCTCTCGCTGTCTCTACCTCGCGCTCTCTCTCGCTCTCTCTTTCTCTCTCGCTCTCTCTCGCTCTCTCTCCCTCTCTCTCGCTCTCCCTCGCTCGTTCTCTCTCTCTCTCTCTCTCTCTCTCACTCGGCTCTCACTATAGCACACCCTCGCTCGCTAGGCAATTAGTAAGAACTGGAAAAATTATCTCGGTAGGGCAGAGATCATTTGGGGAGGGTCGCTACAGTTACATAATTTAGGTAATCGAGGGAGTTTTGTGGATTCTCTCGCCTGGGCTAACTTGCAGAGACCATTTGGGGTTCAATTTCTGATTTCTTGGCCTCGATAAGGATATGCAAATCTGTAAAAAGTACAAGCACTCCTCCCCCCACAATACCGTACATATTCCATACAATTCCTACAGTCACGTGTGCGCCGAAATTTGTTTTCACTATCCTACCCTGCCCTGCACATTTTGGGGTGATTTTCGGGGGTCGGTCAAGCGGGGATAAGCCCCCTCCTAGGTAGAATTAGCCCTCCACCTCCTCTTTCACCCCCTCCGAAAAACACATATCTCGTGCAGCACCAACTGCTGTGTGTGAGCATGAGCTCGGATTTTGCCCCCGAAAACAAGCGCGACAAATTTCGCGTGTTTCGCATTGTTTTTGCGTCGTAAAGTTTGAAAGGGCAGACGGGGGTGGGATAAGAATCAGCAACACTTTTGTAGGTACAGAGATCGGCGCCGGATTTTTGGGATTGGACTTTAAAGAGGTTGGGAAGGCTGGAAAATGAAGGGCAGTCAAGCGGCGTTCGTTTGGACACTTGGCAAGCTAGCAGAAGCCATTTGGGAGTATGGTAAGCTGGCAGAGACAACTTAGGATGTTGGCAAGCTAGCAGAGACCATTTGGGATAGTGGCAAGCTAGCAAAGACCAATTCGGAAAGACGCAAGCAGGCAGTGATCGTTCAGGAGTTTGGCCCGCTCGCAGAAACCATTGGGGAATTCTGGCAAAAAAAGTAGCAGAGACCATTTAGGATAGTGGCAGGCTAGCAGTGACCATTTCGGATTGGTGCGAAGCGAGCAGCTATCATTTGACATCTTGGCAAACTAGCAGAGATCATTTGGGAAATCGGCAAGCTAGCAAAGGCCATTTGGGATAATGACCAGCTAGCAGAGATCGTTTGGGACGTTGGCAAGCCAGCAGAGACCATTTGAAACAGTGGCAAGCTAGCAGAGACCATTTCGGCTAATGGCAAGCTAGCAGAGACAATTTGGGATGGTCGGACTTTAAAAAAACTTTTGTAACACATTTTCTACCCCAGATTGAAAAGTTGCTCCCCCGGAGTGTTTCTGTGTTTCTCCTCTCAGGGTATTCTTGCAGACGAGCTGGAAAGACGGGTTTTCGTTGGATGTTTAGCACTTTTCCATCTCCATTCCGCCATGTTTTTCAAAAGAGGCAGATCAAATCTGGGACTCGTGATAATATGGTCTCTCTCTCTCTCTCTCTCTCTCTCTCTCTCTCTCTCTCTCTCTCCATCGCTCCCTGTCCAGGAGCAAGAGGGCACCCTTTGAAAGTCGTCCAGCTAAAAGTTAATGGCACTCCTAAAAAAATTTGTCTAGAGACCCTAGGAACTGGCTGAAAAATATTTTAGAATTTGGTATTTAAAAGCAAATACTGTAGAAAATACTGTACATCTTGCAAAAAAGAGGAGCAATGTGGTAAGCTAGCAGCGATTCTTTGGGAATTTTTGGGTCGGGTTAGCTGCTAAAATTGTTAGGTTTTGAGAAAAGAATCCGAATACTTCGGGCTTACGACTACGGTATCTGGTTTTTACGTTTTTTGTGATATTCCAGTAAAGAAAAGATTTTAAAGGTACTGGTAAGGCATAGATATGGAATTTTTCGCTGTCGCTTTTCTGCTACTCGCTCGGATTTGACATTGCGTAATCTATTACGACAGTTTACCAGTTTCGGCAAAGAACCTCTGCTAGCTTGCCTTAGGTTTTTAGCTAAATCACGACATTTCCTATCCGAACCAACCCCAGAAATCGCAACCTCCCCAAGCCACCCACCCTATCTATCAACCCCCAAAAAAAACAACCTCCAAAAAATCGACGTCTCGATTTTTAAACCACCACGCGTGACCCATGGACCTCCAATTATTTATCCCGTTTTTAAAGGACCCGGCAAGCCGACTGAAGCCATTTTTTGGCCCCAAAAATGCCGCTACGCACTGTTGATCTCATTCCATCAATTACGCTTTTTCGGCACGGCCCGGGATCACGATTATTTGGTCGCTTTGCTCAGAAAAACGGGACAACACCCCGGGCCACTTTACACTCTCGGAATGGCGGTTGTGGACTGATGAGGGCACAAAGCTCCGGTTCAGCCGGGCCCAAAAGGGCACATCTTAGGGAGCGGGGAGGGTAGAAGGGGCTTGAAAGTTACGTGAACAAAATCGGAATTTAAGGATTTTTACAAAAAGCTGTTTCCAAAAAAAAAGATAAAAAATAAGAGCCTATTCCCCAAAAGGTCCCTGCTAGCTTGCCCGGAACGCGATTTCCGAAAGCACCCCTGCTAGCATGCTTCGATTTCCCAAAAAAGTAGGATTCGCCGTTGTCAATTTCCTACAGAATCCCTGCTAGCCTGCCTTGAAATTCGATTTCCCAAATGGTCTTTGCTAGCCGCCCTGAACTCAATTTCCCAAAGCATCCCTGCTAGCCGGCATCGATTTTTCAAAAACGTAGGATTAGGCGTTGTCAATTTCCTAAAGCAACTCTACTAGCTTGACTTGAAACTGGTTTCCCCAAATGGTCTCTGCTAGCCTGCCCTGAGTTATAATTATTATAGAAATTATGCTCAGCTATCAGATACGGATTTCGTAAAATGATCTCTGCTAGCTTGCCATCAATTCCCAAATGGTCTCTGCTAGCCTCGAGAGGGCCGAATTTCTCAAAGGATCTCCGCTAGCCAGCCTTGGCTCAGTTCTCAATGGCTCTCTGCCAGCCTGCCCGGTCAAAAAACAGAAACCGCTCCGTCACATGGCTATATCTGTTGTACCCGATCGGTTTCCGGTGATTTCTCGATTTGTGCGGGTGGGGGTCAACAATTTCCATCAAATCCACACACTCGCTCGGGCACACACACAAGCACACGACGTCACACGACCAACTCGGATCACTCTCTCTCGCTCTCTCTCTCACTCTCTCACTCTCTCTCTCTCACTCACTCCCTCTATCCCTCGCTCTTTCTCTCTCTCGCCTTTTTGGTCCATGAGTCCAGCAGGACCGGGAACGGCCCCAGGATTGGCAACAGTTCATTGGAGAAAAAGGACAGAAAACGGTTCGAAATCTGGTTTTTGAAAGATCAGGGGCAAGCTTGCAGAGATAATTTGGGAGAGGAGGGCAAGCTAGCAGAGACCATTTGGGAATTCAACAGAGATCAACCGAACCCATAGGTGTGACCTTGAGCATTTCAAAAGCCGGAGCGAAAAGTGACCCGCCGGGTCCGGCCGGCGCGGGTCAGCGCGCTTTTTTTGGGGGATTGGTCAATCCCGTCCCGCTGAAAACACCAATAAAAATTTGAGGGAAACGGCCTGGAAAATTGGCTTAAAGTGGTGGATGGGTTCGGACTTTGGACGTTGAAAATATGGCAGGAAAATAGTAAAAAATTAATAGGTTTGCGGAGAAAAAATTGCAAAAATATTGGATTTAAAAACAAAACGGCTTTGAAAATCGTTAAATTACGATAGGTTTAGTTAACTTTATAAAATTAATTAGCGAAGCACCTAAATATATTTTTTTTCAGAAAAGTCGAGGAGGAAGAGCTGGTGCTCAACGTCTCGCAGCCGTTCACCACCTCCTACAATGGAGTGGCTTTCACCTGGACTGCCAGGTGAGCATGAGTTTATTTAGCTTTTCTTTAGCTTTCTTTCTCTCTCTCACTCTCTCCCTCTAGCTCTCTCTTTTTCTCTCTCTCTCTCTCTCTCTCTCTCTCTCTCTTTGTCTGTCTCTCTCTCGCACTCTTTTTCTCCTCACTCTCTCGCTCTCTCTTTTTCTCTGAGGCAGACGAGCAGAAACCATTTAGGAATAGCTTTAGTCCATTTTTCCAGGCTCTCCGATGAGTGTGCCGTTTGGACGACGACGGAGTACGAGCTCCCGAACCACGTGTTCGCCTCCCTCTACTATAAGGATGGCATCGCCCAGGATGTGATGGTTGATGAAGTCAGGTTGGTATATGATCTGCATTTAAAGGGAGTGTGACACCTAAAAAATCAGGCTACTGTAAAAGGCGGGGCAGGCTAGCAGTGATAATTTAGGAAGTAAAGGCCGGCTAGCAGAGACCAATTGTCAATTCTTCATAACCTTTTTTTCCAGAATGTCGCTCTACAGCGCGATGGGCGAGCTGATCTTTGAGGATATGCGAGTCCCAGAGGCCGAATATACGAAAGGTTCTTTTTTACGAAATTCCCTAATAGTTTCTGCTGGCCTGCCTCGGATTCAATTACTTATTTTGAATTTAGGCAGTGGCTGGCCAATCCAACTATCTCCTGAGCGCCAGGCCCACTTCACGCGCTTCATCCACAACAGCATCAACGAGCAGATATCACTGCAGATCGAGATACGGTAGGTGGGCGGGGTTTAGAAAAGAGGAGGCTAGCAGAGATCATAGAGGAATCGAATGCAGGCTAGCAGAGATGCTTGAGGAAGAGAGGGCAGGCTAGCAGAGATTATTTGGGAAAGGAAGAAAAACTAGCGTAGAGTAGCAGCTCAAGAGTAGCCAGCAGAGATGATTTGCGATCGTGGCAGGCCAGCGGAGATCATTTAGGAAGCCGAACAGGCTTATTGAGAATATAGGTAGGCTAGCAGAAACCATTTAGGATCGTGGCTTGTTAGCACAGATCATTGAGGAGGCGAGGGCAAGCTAGCAGAAACCATTTGCCAAGCCCGGATTTTTTCCTGATTTAACTTTATCTATACCCATTTCAGGATGAAGACCTCAATCTTCGACCCGATGCGCTACCTGCCCTCCCTGGCCACGGCCCATATGAATCAGAAGATCAAGGAGGCGTGCAAGAAATACGTTGATGATTTCCAAGCCGGCCGGGTTACGGTACCCGAGATCGAGTTCCTGAACCTGACGAGAACGGTTGGTTTTAGAAAATACTTTCCTTTCCTCAATGATCTCTGCTAGTCTGCCATAGCTTCCCAAATAATCTCTGCTATTCCCCATAATTCTCTTCTTTTCAGGAAGACAAATACATGCTCCACCGCAAAGTGTTCATGCACGGCCTCCGGAGCGTCGAAGAAATCTGCCGGGACGAGAACGAGAGCCCGGAAGTTGCGAAACATATTTGCAGCGTGAGTTAAAAATGGCTTAAGAGTACAGCGTCAGCAAGGAGTTCACCCCGCCGCCTCCTATCTAATCAAATTTCAAGTGACCTCAAAACCAACGAGTTCGTGCATCTACTTTTCTTAAAAGCGGGAAAATACCTTCCATTTTTCAGCAATTCGCGCACACTTACTTCATCGAGGTGCTGCTCCGTGAGGTGCAGGGATACGACGACTTTGTCACCCTGCTCGAGGGGGTCATTGCCGTCCACCTGCCCGAGCTGAAGAAGGAGACCGAACGATATATTTGTAGGGAAGTTATGAAGGTGAGGGTTTTCAATTGATTGGACTGCTTGAACTTGTTAGCTATCAGTAGCTGATCTCCTTGAACGCCTTGCACTTCTTTTCATAGACTTTCAAGCCCCGAGCCTAGATTTAGTAAGCCGTTCTGACCAGCTGGAACGGCTTGAATTTGCTTTTCCAAGGAGTTCTGCTATTGGCTTCAACTTGTTCATTTCCCTGAACGTCTTGAACTTGCTGAACTCGTCTTACGCGCCTCTCTGACCCACTTAAAAATCTTGGCCAACACCTGATTTACTCTGAACCCCTTGAGACCCTTGATCACCTGCTTTCAGCTCCAAGAACGACCCGCCAACGCGCAGTTTCCGGCACCAGATGCGCTTCAGGAAGAGGAAGCGGTTGAACGCCCCGAAAGCCTCGACATCGAACGGCTGCAATTTATCCAGTTGATGCTGCTCCTCGCCAAGAAATACAATCTGGATGTGTTGAAGGTGGGTAACTAGCAAAGATACTGCAGGAATAAAACGTTTTTTGAAACCCGGTATATGAAAGTAAAAATTGCATTTAGATGGTGGCTATGGGTGTACTTGCCGACCAGATCATCGCCCAGAAGAGTCCGCCGGAGGAGTTCGTGCATATGGAGCACGAGCTCCGGTCGTTGGCATCGGAGATTAGCCAGTGAGTTTTTGGACTGCTTGAATTTGTTGGGCTGAGCTTGTTGAACTCCTTGAACTATCGTCTCTTCAGTTCCTGGTTTTTGAACTTCTTGCGCTTTGTTTCTCTAGGTTTTTCTTCAATTCCCATGCTCTCCTAGCTGTTTTTCTGGAACTTTTTGAGCTTCTTGGACGCTTTGAGCTTGTTGTCCTTGACACGCTGACCTCCTTGAATTTCTTGAAATCCCTTGAATGAGGTTTCTAAATGTCCCTGATTTTTTTTGAACTCTGGAACCCGTTAAACCCCTCAGACTTCTTGAACTTCACCAAAAACTTGTTAATTATCAGCACTTTTTAGCTCGAGCTCTGTGGACGATGACGTCGACGTGGAAGAACTTCTCGTCGGCTCGGTGGTAGAAGATCTTCAGATGCTGACCAAGCGTATCCGGAGGGTCTCGCTATCGCATAGCCCTTCGCAAAGTTCGGCGAGTTCAGCTTCGAGTGCGACGGCAACTCCAACAGGTTCGTCGAGTTTGGGAGATTGAAAGAAAGAGACAGACGGAGCGAAAGAGAGAGTGAGAGAGATAGAGAGAGAGAGTGAGTGAGAGATGGTATGCTAGAGAAAAACAAATCAATTTGATCTTAATATTTTCAGGACTTCCCAGCCTCTCCCCAGCCGTCAATGAACAGCGCCCATTCGACTCGCCCTCCACCGGCCGGTTCAAGAGGGTCGAACTGGACGTCCTGTAGCTCAATTCCGCTACGTTACGCTACAGTACACCCTACAGTATGCCTTTTTCAAGGCCCTTTCAAGTCAGAATCCACTGCTTTCCCCAAACCCCAAAACGGCTTCCCCCTGTCCATATCTTTGCATGTATGCTCCGCCCGGTTTTTCGGCTAGATTTTGGGGTTTTTGGTATCATTTTTTAGCTCTTGAACTGCTTTATCGATAGGGATACTTTAAATCACTGTAAAATATATCTACGCGGAGATATAGAACAAAAATACTTTTTTAAGTTTGAAAAATCTTTGAACGGTTAGAACTCGACGTAGAAAAACTTTTGCACAACATCATATATACCGATCGATAGCCTTAAAACGTAGATTTTCCTAATATTAAAATTTATAAATTTAAATGCAGTTTCAAAACGTTCTGCCCCAAAAACTTCCAAAAATCGGCCACCTCTACCCTCGCTGCCCAACCTCCCATTAATGTGCCGTCACGCCCTCACTTTTGTCCCGCTTTGGTTACCAATAATGCTTCAACGCCCCCCCAAAAATCCTGCTTTTACCGGCATTTCTTTATTAATTTCTGACACGAGTTAGGCACGGTTCGACTCCAATTTTTGTGTGTTTTTCGCTTTTCCGCATTTCCGGCTTTTCCATGTAATTTGCATGCTTGAGACGACCCCTCCAGGTTTAGTGAGACACAGCCCCCGTTGATTCGAAACATTTTAAGGATTTTGTGATTTTTTGAACATTTTGAAAAATTCCCTCGAATTTTCTTGCCCCATTCAAAGCCTCTTCTCCCCCAAATCTGAAAATCTGCCTCCAACCCTTCCGAATCGTGCAAAATGGCTGGAATTGGGTTCTGGGAGTTTGACTAAAATTTGCGGGCAAGCTAGCTGGGATCTTTGGGGAATCTGAGATTCCGAAAATCTGATTCCGGCAGGCTAGCAGGGTCTTTGAGGAACCGGAATTTACTAAAAAGAGCAAAGTTGCAGAGATTCTTGCGGAAGCAGGGCAAGCTAGCAGAGATTTTTGGGGAATTCGGGTTTTTGACAGATCGGAAAATTCTGGTAAGATAGCAAAGATTCTTGAGGAATCTGGCTTCCGGAGGCAAGCTAGCAGAGATCTTTGAGGAACCCGAATTTCCTTCAGAAAGGAGGTAAACTAGCAGAGAACCTTTAGGAATCTGGCTTTCTGACAACCTGGCATTGCGAGGCAACTAGCAGAGACCTTTGCGGACTCTGAATTGCCCTCAGAAATTGGGCCAACCAGCAGAGATCTTTGAGGAAGCGGGCTTTTTTAAAAGCCATGAGAATTTTCGGTCATCCCACTTTCCAAGGCCAAGCCAGGCAAGCTAGCAGAGATTTTTGAAGAATCCCGTGGGAGATGCAGGAAATTCAGGAAATCCATAGAAAATCCCAAATAATTTCTGCTAGTTTGTTCTCAACCTTAGAAAATACGAAATTCAGTGATATTTAGGAAAAACCCAATTGCAGCCTTCAATTTTCTTGCTCATAGCCTTTAAAAATGCTTTTGTTTTTTGTATTTTTTTTTTATTTTTTCGATATTTTATGGATGCAAAGTACGGTAGTCGCTATAGTCAGTACGGTTTCGAGCCTCCAACCCGTTGTTTTTATTTTTCATTTTTCCAAGGTTACTGTATGTATATATGAATGTATATAGGTTCCGCACAGTGAGAGAAAAAAACAATAAGCAAAATGAACGTGTCCAGCCTTCGAATTTAAATTTTCCTAAGATGTGTTCTTTTTTTTTTGTAAAATCCCGCTTTTCACTCCCCCTCGCCTTTTTCAGGAATGTAATCTTTTCTTATTTTTTTACAATTGATTTAATGCAATCGGCAATCGATAAAGTTATTTGCATAAAACATCTATTGGTCAAAAGCACAATTCAGGGTTAACGGGTTTTTCGCCTTATCAGAGGGGATCAATTTGTTTTTGTAAAGCCCAGAAAGGTCTTTGAGAGAGAGCGAGAGAGAGAGAGAGAGAGAGAGAGAGAGAGAGAGAGAGAGAGTGAGAGTGAGAGAGAGAGAAAATTTCACCCCAAACGGACCATGGGAAGGCACTTTTTGACGACTACAAAGGTTTTGTCGACAAACATACAGACGTAGAGACGCAGACCCCTTCCCCCCTCGAAACGCAATTTAAATCGGCTGTTGAAATTCGAAATTTCACTTTTTTCAAATTTGAAAAGCTTATAGTATGCAAAAAGTATCGCCGGTTCCGATGGTGTATTCAGTTTGGCGATCCGATGCATTGTTTTTGTAAATCCGGAAGGACCCCAAAAGAGTCGTATGGGGGGGGGGGGTACCTCTTGTAGTAATGTACTAATTAATAGTATAATAGTCCAAAATTAATGTTCATGATACTTTAAAATGCCTCCAGAAGCTTCCTAGGCTCCTTGGGGCTCCCGGCTCCCTCAGTTCCAGCTTTACCAAATGCCGTCTACGCACGTCCTCAGCGCCTACAAAACCGATCGTTCATTTTTGAACGACTTTTAGTAAAAAAAACCTAAAAAGCTGATTCGACCGCAATTCATCGCCGGCCGCTCGCCACCAAGCGCCTATGCGCGGCGCGGTGGCGTGGATTTGCGTGATTACGGTGGTCTACGCAGCCGTCTCCCATTTTACTGCATTTTCGCCTTTTGCCGGGTGTCGATCGGCGTCCTATTTGCTGAAGTGATGCCTTATAATTTATTTTGACGCCCTTGGGTCCACCCAACTTCAATAGCTTAATGTTTTTCTCTCTCTTTTGAAGTAATGCATATTACCGCCTCGTAACTGCGTTCAATTCTTAGTGCCATTCCTTGCTTTTATCACGCGCTATAATCGTCACAAGTTCCCATCAACAAAGTCGCATAGCCCAACCGCTTCCCTTCTGTTTCCGCCAATCATTTGCAGATATAATCGCGCCTTATTGCTCCACCCAATCCTACAGTTTATTTCTTTATCCATAGAAATACAAGCGTGCGGACCGTGCGACATTTGTTGACCGCCAATTTTTGCCACACCCTGTCACCCGTGCATCGCATTTAATTTCAGCAAATTTTTGTTTATTTTCGAGGCAGCCGAAATTTTGGAAGAGGTTGAGTTTGATTTGCGAATGCGTACGGTTTCCCCTCAAATACGGAGTGCATATTCGTTTCTCCACACGGTCATTTGGAATTTTTTCTCCAAATTTGACATCCTACTTCCTGAGCATCATTTCCCTTAACCTAAATTTGACAGCCCAAAACAACTTAACCCTAACGGTTGTGCGCCTGAATGCCGTTTTTTTAATCAACTCTGGTGTCTTCTAATTTTTTTACGTTTCAGCAAGACGACGTCATGCATTTCGAGAAAAGTTTGATCAAGTCCCTACAAGAGGAACGAGTCGGCATCCAGAAGAAGACCTTCACAAAATATATCAACTCCTTCCTTAATCGGGTATTTCTTTTTTTAATTGTTTTCTTTTATATTTTAAAGCTTTTAAATTTAAATTATATTACTTTTAATTTATTGGCTTGCCTAGAATTCATCTTTTGATTCGCTCATTCATACGAATTCTTATAAATAGCGGGCTTTCACTCTTACAATTAGTTGATGCGCGCGTTCCCTATTCAAATATTACTAGAGGCCGACTATCTCTTTACCCGGTCCATCGGTTCCCCATGTTCACCCCTGGGCGCAGATAGGTGGTTGGAGACGAAGGCGAACCCGCACACACAAGACTCGTCCCTTGCTGCGCGGATTGTGGGGGCTGTCGGCAGTACAATAAATTAATGGGCCTGCAAAATAGCAGTTTGGTATAAATTGGGTTGAGTTTTTGGTTTTTTGATCTTAGATATCACCAAAATTGTCAGGCTGTGCAAGAAGAGCTAAAAAAACCATGTGCAGCCAATTTAACCGACGACTTCGGCGCTTTACTTTAGCCGAGTTCCGCCGCTAATGCTCAGCCCACATGGCTCGAACGCGCGTCTCCTTTTTTTCAACATAGCCGGTTGGCAGGAAATTTCGGAGTAAATGGGTGAAAAACCAAGGATGTTGAGATCTGGGGTCCCGAACATGAAACAGCGATGATTTGCGTACAGGCCATGAAAGAAAGTGATTGGCGGACGACGAAGTTATATTTTTCATTTCAGGCGGGGCTGGAAGTCGGTGACATTTTCAAGGAGTTCAATGATGGAGTGCTTCTCATGAAGCTGCTCGAGATCATTTCTGGAGAGAAGGTCTGGCCAATGAATCTTTTGAAAATTTGTTCTTTAGCTGGGCAAGCCGAACAAGGGACGTATGCGTGTGCAGAAGATTGAGAATCTTAACAAGGTCCTCGAATTTTTGAAGAAGAAGAAAATTCAGGTATGGCTGCGCGAAATTCCCAAATTTTTCTGTTTAGCTCGAAAACATCGGAGCTGAAGACATTCTCGACGGCAACGAACGATTGATTCTGGGTCTCATCTGGACCATCATCTTGCGTTTCCAAATCGACACTATCGTCATTGATGCGGTGAGTTTTAGAGGTCGCAAGGGTTTCTTTAATATTAGAAAAGCGAAGCCGGTAAAAAATGTCAAATTCCTTTTTTTAGGACGAACCAGAGACTGGCGAACGGAAGCACGCCAAGGACGCTCTACTTCTTTGGTGCCAGCGCAAGACAGCCGGCTACAGAAACGTTAAGGTAATATCTTTACGGAAATTCAGATCATTTAGCAGTTGGAAAACTTCACGAGCTCGTGGCGCAGCGGGCTGGCGTTCAACGCTCTCATCCACGCTCATCGTCCGGATCTGCTTCAATACGACGGGTTGAACGCGCAGGACCATATGGGCAACTTGAACAACGCGTTCGACATTGCCGAAAAGAAGCTGGATATCGCCAGGTATAGCATTGTCAACTTGCGCCGCTTCTTCCTTGTTCGTTGGGGAGTTAGGCAGATTTTTTAATTTACCAGTGCCTGCTTAGGAAGATATGGCGTATTTCCAGTGTTTTCTGTATTTTTAGATACGGAAAGTTCTTTAGGAAATCCCGCAAATTCGCAATTTTGGCCAGGATGCCCAGATTTTGCAAATTTTTGTCGTGTTGCAACGTAGTCTGTATTCAAAAACCGTGTGTAATGCTAAGAACGTAGGTGAAAATTCCAATGTTTGCTCGACGTCCCTCCCGGAAAAGAATTTTGCCTCGGTCCCCCGCTAACAAGGAAGAATCGCTTCGCTCTCACTTGCTTGTAGCGGTTATTTTGTTTTTAAATGTGTAATCATTTATAGGCTGCTGGACGCTGAAGACGTCGACGTGGGCCGTCCCGACGAAAAGTCGATCATCACGTACGTCTCGCTCTACTACCATCATTTCGCCAAGCAGAAGACCGAGATGACTGGTGCCAAGCGCGTTGCCAATGTAATAAGCTTTTCGCCGCTGTTTCTATTGCTTTTTATAGATCGTTGGCAAGCTGATGACACAGGAGCAGATGGAAGACGAATACCAAGGCATCGCCAGCGATCTGCTCGAGTGGATCAAGGTATACTTGTTTGCTTTTGGCCTTCAATACTTTTTTGTTTAGCAAACGATTGGCATGTTAAACAACCGTCGATTCCCGAATTCGCTGAAGGGCATCAAAGAAGAGATGGTCCGCTTCAACCAGTTCCGCAACATCGAGAAGCCATGCAAGTACAAGGAGAAGGGAGACCTCGAGGCGCTGTTCTTCAACATCCAGACCAAGAGGAAAGCCATCGGCATGAGCCCCTTCGTTCCACAGCACGGTAATCTTTGCGGAATGGCTACCAATATTGTTTTAGGCCTTTTCATGAAAGACCTGGAAACGGCCTGGGATCGATTGGACAGCGCCGAAAACGAGCGCCAGACGGCGATCATCAACGAAATGCTGAGACTCCAAAAGCTCGAGCAGCTGGCTGAACGTTTCTACCGCAAGGCCGAGCTGCGCGATCACTGGCTGAGGGACATGGGTAAGGATTTTTCCTTTCAGCTGGACTGAAATGTTTGAAATGACCAATAAATCGTTGACTCATTTGTTTGTCGCTCTTGATCTGCTAAACAACATGTTTAGGTGGTCATCTCGACGAACTTGAGCTCGGACGCACGGCCAGCGACGTCGAGGCGGCTCTCAAGAAACATCAGGCTATCAGCGCCGACATTCTACCCCGTGAGGAGCGCTTCCGCATCTTGACGCGCATCTGCGCTGAACTCTCCGCCGGCAACTACCACGAAGCCAACCGCGTGCGTGCGAGGTATTTTTGTTTTGGCACTTGAAAATATGAAATTTTAGGGACCGTGAAATCGCCCAGAAATGGGCGCATCTGCTGTCCGTGCTCGAGGCCAAGCGCAAGCAAATTATGGGCTTGAACGACCTGATGGGCCTTTTACGCGACATCGATACGTTGAGCAGCGAGCTGAAACATCTTGAGGTAATCATATTTTTTTGAAACTAATCAGCAGGTTTGCATTCACTTTCATTTTTTTTATTAATCCACGGTTTTCAGCCGGTGGCTCGTAATCGTGACGTTGGCAAGCACATCCTCGGCGTCGACGATCTGATTGGCCGCCACGAGCTGGTCGAGGGCCAAGTGAAGGCGCACGGCGCCTGGCTCGACAACGTCTCCCGCCAAGCCCAACTCTACATCCGCGGCAAGGGCGAGCAGAACGAAACCCTCCAGCGAAAGCTCGAAGACGTCAATGCGCAATACGAAAACCTGCGAGCACTCTGCCAGCAGCGCCGGAATGCCTTGCACAAGGCGCGCGAACTGTTCCAGTTCATTCAGGTACGTTCGTTAAACTTTTCTTGTATAATTGATGCAATTTTAGGATCACGAGGAGGAGATGACGTGGCTGGCCGAGAAGGAGTCCCTTTGCCTGAACGCACTTCAGAAGGGCGACATCGCGAATGTGGCCAACATTTCCCGCTTCCACAAGACCATAGAATCGGAGATGAAAGCGCATTGGACACGCACCAAGGAGATCATGGCCGCCGGCGAGCAGCTGGCGATGAACGGGCAAAGCCGAGATGATGTACAACGCCGCATCCAGCAGATCCAACACCGCTGGGAATCCCTTCGAAAGGTCGTCGACGATTTGGCGAACTGGCTGCAGGAGGCCGAACGCGCGCAGCAATATTTCCAGGTTTGTATCTTTCAAAATGCTGTTTTATTGAATTCAAGATGATAGTTGTTTTTCTCGGAATTCAAAAATTGTTTTCAGGACGCCAACGAGGCCGAGTCTTGGATCCGCGAGAAGTTGCCACTCGTCAAGTCTGAAGATTATGGCAAGGACGAAGGCCAGGCCGAAAGCCTCCTCCAACGCCACAACCGGCTCGAGGAGCAGATTCACGCTTTCCGGTAACGCTTTTTGCCGCGTCTTTTCAGTGTTCTTTTAGTTCGGACATTGTTCGCCTCGAGGAATCGGCTTCGCAGATCGCCAGCACCAGCTTGATGACCGGTACCCATGCGACCGAGGTGGACACTGAAGAAACCGTCGTTCCACAGGTATACTTTTTTTATTACGTGATTGCAATGCGTAATAGAAGGTCGATGACGTAGGCAAATAGGAAAAGGAACTTTAAAGGAACACTAGCGAACTTTTCAAATGGCTTTTTCGGTGTTTTCTGAGGGTGCTATTCGGCTGTAGCCAGGGTTTTGACCGACCTTTCCTTACAATCTTTATTCCTTTAGGTCGAGATGCTGTACAAGTACTCTGGCAACGGGATGGAGGTCAAGAAGGCTGAGATCGTTGCCCTCATCGACAAGTCGAACCCAGACTGGTGGTGTGTGCTGAAGCAGAATGGGAAGGAGGGATATGTGCCGGCTACGTACTGCCGACTGATCCCCGGCGAAACTGTCACCATCGCCCAGACAACGGCCACTTCTTCTACCAAGTCTCACCGCGGTGAGCCGGCCGACCGCAGGAAGGACATCCTGGCTCGCCAGCAAGCCATAAGCATGGGCTACCGCAACTTGAACAAGCTCGCCGAAGTCAGGAAACGGCTGCTCAGCGACAACATCAAGCTGATGCGCTTCTTCCGTGAATGCGACGAATTCGAGACGTGCGTTTTGCTTTGAATTTCTAATTTTCTATCTATGATTTTCGCCTTATCAAATATTTTTAGTTGGGCTCAAGACACGATGAACGTGCTCTCGGACGAGCCCTCCGTTGAACACATTGAGGCGTTCCGCAAGAAGCTTGACAAGCTCGAGCACGACATCGCCGCGAATGGAGGCACCCAGCTGAGGCGTATCAACGGCATGGCCGATGAGCTGACCGCCGAGGGGCACAGCGAGACGCGCCAAATCGTCGCCCGCCAGCAGGCCGTCAACAAGCTCTGGGCCCACATCGACCAGCTGTTCCTCAACAAAACGGCTCGCGTGCAGACGCTCGAGCAGCTCGACGACTTCAATGCCAACTGCGCCGATGCCGAGAGCTGGATGAAGGCCAAGTTCGATCTCATCGACCGCAAGCCCCAGGATCTCAAGTCGTTGCAGAATTTGGAGCGCGACTTGAAGCCCTTGGAGGACAAGATCCAGGTGGGTTTTTCTTTCTTTCTCCCTTTAGTTTTAAGTGTTTTTCGTTTTGAAGATACCTGGGTTAAACTTTGATTTTTAGTCTCTCGAAGAGCTGGCGGAGCGCGTCAAGAAGTCAAACCCGGAAATGGCCGCCGTCATCCAAAAGAAGATCAACGAGCTCCGCGGGATGTACGCCGATCTGCTCAGCCAAGCCCGCCAAAAGATCCAGCTGGCCGAAGAGACACAAGGTATCGGCTTAAACCTGTTGAAATTAGCAGTTTCTTTAGGCCAGGAAATGTTCGATGGAGCGCTCGCGGAAATGCACGCGTGGATCGAAAAGACGAAGAAGACGCTCTCGGACATGGAACGGCCCGTCGACGTGCAGACCGCCGAGGACACGCTCAAGACGCACCTCGAATTGGGCGACCAAATCAAGGTATAGAACCGTCGAAAGTTTACGTAATCGTTCTTAGGACAAGAAATACGCTGTCGAATATATCCAAGAGCTCGGCCGGCGTCTGCTCGTCAAGAACCCGAAGCTGAACGTGGTCAAGGAGAAACTCGAACAACTCCAGTACGCCATGGCCGAGATTGCCAACATTTGGAAGTCGAAGGTATTAAGCCGGCAATTGTTATTGAATCCTTGTGTTTTTAGCATGCACACCTCAAGCATCAGCTCGACCTACAGTTGTACAATCGCGAGGCCGAGCGCATCGATGCGGCCACCAAGGGCCATGAAGCTTGCCTCGATTTTAAGGTAGCCGGTGTTTCTTGAATCACACAATTACCGTCTAGGACCTGGGCGATTCCGTCGACTCGGTTGAGAACCTCTTGAAGCGCCATCGCGATTTGGAGGCCAAGCTGGATGCGCAAGAGGCTCGTCTCGATGCTTTCAGCAAGAACGCCGACGAGCTGATCCGGTTGAAGCACGCGGACAGCACATACATCCATGATGTAACTTTTTTTTACTTGCTAAGCTTATCTTTCATTTCTAGCGCCGAAACGAGGTTCTAGCAAGACGTGAAGCTGTCCGTCGCGCCGCCTCCAAGCGCCGTGCCCAGCTCGAGGCCTCCCTGGAATACCAGAACTTGCGCCGTGACGGAGACGAGGTGCTCCAGTGGATCGGCGACAAGAAGAAGGTGGCGCTCGACGACACCCATCTCGACCTGCACACAATCGACATCAAGCTGCTCAAGCACGAGGCTTTCGAGGCAGAGATCAAGCCCAACACGCAGCGCGTCGAAAACATCAACAAGGTCGGTTTTTGTGTTCGCCTGCCATCTCGGGCACTTGCGAATTTCAAAATATTTGAATTTTTAGGATGGCGCAATGCTCGTTTCGCGCCACCACTACGAATCGCCGAACATCCAGAAGCTCGTCGAGCGCGTTAACACGTCGTGGACCGAGCTCAAAGACGCCGCCGCGCGCAGGGGCGAAAAGCTGAAGCAGGCCGCCGACCAAAAGGTATACCGTTCTTCAGTCACATTATTGCCATCTCTAGAATCTCAACCGCATCTTGGATGACGCGAATGCCAAACTCGACGAGATCGACGAGACGCTGCGAAATAAAGACGTCGGCAACGACCTGCGCGGCGTCAAGGAGCTCCTCCAGAAGCACACGACCGTTGAGCAGGAAATGCACCTCTACGAGAACAAGGTATGGCTCTTTGTTCACTTTTCAAAAAATTGCATTTAGTTGACGGAGATCTCGCGCCGTGGCAATGTGATGGCTGGCGAAGGCCATTTCGATGCGGCTCGAATCATTTCTACCGTCAAGAGCCTCCTCCACCGCTTTGAGCAGTTGACCGGCCCCTGCTCAGCACGTCGTACGGCGCTCGAGGAATCCCTGAAGTGGCACCAACTCGCCTTTGACGTCGACTGCGAACTCCAATGGATTGCCGAAAAGGAGCCGCTGGCCGCTTCCGAAGATACGGGCCGCACCCTGACCGAGGCGCTGAACGTCTTGAAGAAGCACGAGCAGCTCGAGGCCGAGGTCAATCAGCATAGCCGCCACATCGAGGGCACCATCCATCGTGGTGACGACCTCATCAAGGGACATCACGCAGCACGGGCTGACATCAAGGCAAAGTGTGATCAGCTGGCCGGCGCCTGGGCTCATCTACAGCAGCTCGTTCGTCGCCGCAAGCGCATCGTCGACTGGGGTGTCAAGGAGCAGCAATACATGTTTGACGCTGCCGAGGTATGAGCTGCTTAATTGTCAAAAATGAGTTTTTAGGTCGAGTCGTGGATGGCGGAGAAGCGGATCCTGATCGAGTCCCAGGATTACGGACAAGACGAAGACGCTGCACAGAAGCTTCTCGCCCGGCACAAGGCTCTGCAAAACGATATGAACACTTACAAGTAGGCGTCCTTATACACTTCTCACCCAACTCTTTTTTTTTCAGACAATGGGTCGAGCGTCTTGCTGTGAAGTGCGCCGAGTTGGTCGACTCCCATCGGCACCACGTCGACCGCTTCTCCAACAAGCAGCGCAATCTTGAGGCCGAATTCGATCGTCTTTCCGAGCTGGCCGACAAGCGTCGCGCGCTGCTGGAAGACACGCTGTGCTTGCACGAATACCTGAGGTATGTTTTTTTAATTTCTCTATTGTCCGGGTCATTTAGCCTTTATTGGTTTCTCAAATTTATCTTTTTCAGGGAGAGCGCCGAGCTGGAACAGTGGATAAACGAGCAGCTGCAGACGGCCATGAGCGAAGAATACGGCGATGACTACGACCATTTGATGGACCTGCAGACGCGCTTCGAAAACTTCCGCACCTCGGTCAAGTCGGGTGACGAGCGGTTCGTCTCCTGCGAGCAAGCGGCCAATTCGATTCTTCGTCGCAACACGCCGTTTGCCCGGGATGTGTTGAAGAGGCAAGAACGACTCAGAACGGCAAGTTTCTTCTTTATTTCGATGAGACCATTTTGTAGGCCTGGCAACTCCTCGTCGAATACATGGAATCGCGTGAGCAAAAGCTGAAGGGGGCCGAAGAGCTCCATCGCTTCAACCGCGACGTCGCCGAGCACGAGCAGCGCGTCGCTGAAAAGCTGAGCAACATGCCAACGGAGCTTGGCCGTGACGTGAAGCAAGTGCACTCGCTCTGGCAAGCCCACGAAACTTTCGAGAAGCAGCTGGTCGATATGAAGGTACGATATAAAATTTTTTTTATGTTGTTAGTACAAGGCGTTGCTTGCCAACGACGCTTTACGCGCTTGATAAATTAATTAATTTCAGGCTCGCCTCGACCATTTGCTGCAAGAAAGCGCTTGTCTGAAGGAAGCTTACCCTGGAGGCAATGCCGACCACATCTCCCAGCAGCAAATCGCGCTCACCGAGGGTTGGCAGGAGCTCGAAGAGGCGACGTTGAACCGAAAGGACCGCTTGCGGGCTGCCTACGACTTCCATCGCTTTTTGGGAGAGGTGAGCGGCTAATTTCAGTAGTCTTGCTCTTCAAGCTTTCAGTGTAAATTGGCTATATAAACTTTTTCAGGTCCGGGATCTTCTTTCCTGGTGCGACCTGATGGTGGCCGACATGCAAACTGAGCAACAACTACACGACCTCCAGGGCGCGCAGTGGCTGAAGGAAGAGCACTCGCGGCTACAGTCTGAGATTGAGGCCCGCGCTCCCGAATTTGCCAAGCTCGACGGGACGGGCCGAAAGATGATTGCTGCCGAGCACTACGCCAGCCATGAAATCCGTGCTCGTCTGCAACAATTCGAGGGGCCTATCAGCAGCTGAAAGACGAATGGAAGTTGCGCGAATCCTACCTGTCGCAGGTCGTCCAATGGCACGCGTTGCAGCGTGAAGCCAAGCAGATCATGGCCGCCATCCAAAGCAAGCGCCACGCCCTCAAGCAGTTGGCGATTGGCGGAACTGTGGATGAGGTAAGCCGGACAGTTTGGAGTCGCTTTTAGAAGTTATGTGTTTCAAAAAAAATGTTATTTTTAGGTGGAGGCCCAACAAAAGCGGCTGGAGACGTTCGCGAAGGCCCTTGTCACCCTTGACGGCCGTGTCGACACCCTCGACAAGAACTCGCGTACCCTGATCGACGACAAGCACCTCGAGTCGGCCAACATCGAGACCTGGCGCCAGAAAGTTCATGAGGCGTTGGCCACGCTGAAAAGCGAGGTTGCCCAGCGCCGCCGTGAGCTCGATGGTGAGCTGGAAGAGGCCAAGTTCGGCGGTGACGTTCGCGACTTGGAGAGTTGGGTCTCCGAAAAGATTCAAGCTATTCGCATCGAAACGGAACGGTGAGAGCTTTTGCAATACTTGTCTTTTTCCATCGAAGAAATTCGGAGTTTGTTCAACGTTCTTTTTCAGTCAAGGCCAATGTACAACGATCGAGGACAAGATGAAACGACTCCAACGACACCAGGCCTTCGAAGGAGAGCTGAATGCGAACGGTGGCCGCGTCGAAACGATCCTGAAACGAGGCGCACAGCTCCAACGCGGCCGGAATGGGCCCATGGTTGGCGAACAGTGCAACCGTTTGTCGCAGCGCTGGCGTGAGCTCGAATTGGCGTGCACCGAACAATCGCGTGCCCTGGAGGAGGCCCGAGATTTGCTGAGGTAGCGCTTTGAATTTTGGCATTGACCTATTGTCGGATTTTAGGTTCAAACAACTCGTTGATCGGGTCTTACAATGGATCCGCGAGCGGGAGAGCATGGTACATGCCGGCGACATGGGCAACGACCTCGAGCATTGCAATCTGCTGATCGACCAGTAGGTTTTTAATCTGTGAAAACTAGTGACCATGCAAATAATTCCGAAACCGGAATCACATAATTAGAATGCGAAACGACAAGAACACAAAATTTTATTGTGAAGAATTTCGATTTTACCGATTTTTTTTGCCAATTTTTCATTAGCATTTGATCCGGAGAGCGGATTGATTTGCCTAATATTTAAGCAAAAACTGAGTGGGTTTAAAAATCTTTTGACGCACTTTTAACCACGTTATTTTAGACTGGACGGCACCAGCGCGGACAACTCTGTCGACGAGAACACCTTGCAAGAGATCAACGAACTCGGCGACAAGCTCGTACGCCAGGGCAGGAGCAGCCAGAAAGAGGTGCGAATAGTCTAAATACTTCGACTTTCTTTCATTTCCAGGTGCACGAGCAGAAGACGATCATCAACCAGAGCTGGCAAGCGCTCCAGTCCGACATTCGGGGCTATCGTCAGCAGTTGAAGATGGCCCTCGAGGTGCACTGCTTTAACCGGGACATCGAAGACACCAACGAGCGTATCCACGAGAAGATTGTCGCCGTGCAGAGCGACGACTTTGGAAGGTATTTTCAAATTATTGCGGTGGGTAATATTTTTTTAGGGACTTTGCCAGCGTCGATCAGCTTATGCGAAAACAGCATGCGCTCGAGAGGGACATGGAGGTCATCCATGCAAAGCTCGCCACCCACGACCAACAGGCGCAGACCATCCTCGCCAAGAAGCCGCCACTCATGGCGGGTTAAATTTCCTGAATGATCGTTCTGATCCTGAAGCCACAACCTACAAAGTCGAATTTTTTAGGAAACGATTCTGAACTCGCTGCAACGCCTCGAGCAAAGCTGGAAGGAGCTCTCCGACTCGGCCGAGCAGCGGCACGCCAAGCTGGAGCGCTCTCATCGACTTTACAAGTATCTCGATTCGGTGAAGAAAGCCGACCAATGGGCGTCGAACCTGCGCACGAAGATGACTTCGCACAAGCCGCCCAAGACCACGACTGAGGCCCGTCTTCTCATCGAGCAACATCAAGAACGGTTCGTTCGCTTTTTGGGAATCATCTTGTGCTTCAATCGGGAAAGAAGGCGCTAGCTCCGGTTTTCAACGCGTTTTTTTTAGCAAAGCGGAAATCGACGGTCGCCAAGTCGAGATCCGAGTGCTACACGAAGAGGGACAACGCCTGATTGCCGAGCAGCCAGAGCACAAGGGAGAAGTTCAACGTGCCCACAAGCGGGTCCAAAACAGCGAGCATCAACTCCGGCAAACATGGGAGCAAGAGAAGGTGGGTTACTGTCATTCGTGCAAACCGACTCGTTTAGGCGTCTCTGGCTCGAGCTCTCGACTGGCTCTTGTACTCTGAGCAATGCGGACTCGTCGAAGCGTGGCTGGCAAGCAAAGAAGCTGTACTAAAGGATCACGACCTTGGCGACAATTTGGAGGCTGTGCAGGTATTGATTTTCGCTGCTGATCACGAAATGGCGTTTAGATGTTGATCAAAAAACACGACGCCTTCGAAGAGGCTGTCAAGACTCAGTCTGACAAAATCGAAACGGTGAGGAAGGATGCCGACGCCCTGCTGTCCCATAGCAACGACTATTCGGTCCAAGTCGAAGAAAGGTGGGCGTTTGGGAAATTAAGACTTCAGTTATGGTAATCTTCGCTCTGTTGAATAGGGTGGCATGAGCTATTTCAAATTCCCTCGTTACTAATAATTTTCCGATTCTAAAAACCTTGTTTAGCCTTGGCAGACGTATAATAATGTCTTTTTGCAGACGTGATGAGGTCGTGGCGCGCTACAATGCTCTGCTCCAACGATCAGCCCACCGGCGGACGATGCTGCTCGACAGCCAGAAACTGCTCGACTTTGTGCGGTCTTGCGGCGAGCTGATAACTTGGATCAACGCCAAGCTTCAACTGGCCTACGACGAAAGCTACCTGGATCCGGCCAACCTTCGGTCCAAGCTCCAAAAACATCTGGCATTCGACAGCGAGCTGGCCGAAAACGAGCAACGCCTCAACTTTGTCGTCAACGAAGGCAACAAGCTGATCAAGGAGAACCACTTCTCGAAGCAAGAAGTCGAAGCTCAGCTGTCCGAGCTGAAGGGAGGCTGGGAGGAGCTGAGGAACAAGAGCGCTTTGAAGACGCAACGCTTGCGCGAGGCCTACGATGCTTTCACGCTGGCAAGGAAGGTGGATGACGTTGAAAGGTAAGCTTTGGAAATTTTTCGGCTCTAAAATTCAATTTCTTGCTCTATGACAACTTTTACAGGTGGCTCGACCACATCGAAGGCGGGCTTGCGTCGGAAGATCATGGAAAGGACGTCCTCTCCGTCGAGCACCTTGTCAAGAAGCTCGATGCCACGCAGGCGGAAGTCGCTGGCCGCAGCGACCACGTTGCCGAAGTGATGACCAAGGCCCGAGAGCTGAAATCGAAGGGCGCCACTGACACGGACCAATTGCTGAAGTCTGCCGAACAAGTCGAACTGCGGTACGCGCAACTCGGCGAGCCGATCAAGATCCGGCGCGAGAACCTGCTCGACGCCAAGAAGCTGTTCGAGTGGGAGGCCGAGGCGCAAGAGGAGACTGAATGGATGCACGACCGGATGCCGCTCGTCCGAAGCGCCGACTTTGGGGACAGCCTCCACTCGGCCGAGCATCTCAGCAAGAAGCACGCACTTTTGGAAGCGGTACATACAATCTAAATTTTTTTAATATTTTTTAGGAATTGGACACTCGTCACGCCTCTCTCAACGAGGTCGAGCGCAAGGGCCTCGAGATGGTGCGTGCCCGACATTTTGCCAGCACCCAGATTGAGCGGCGCGTCGACGAGTTGATGGGTACGATGTTGCAGCTAAAGGTATATTTCGCCTGCCTTTTGTATTCGTGTTTTCTAATAAATGTTCGAATATAACGATGGTTTTTCAGGAACTGTCGATCGCCAGACGCCGCAAGCTTGATGCGGCGGTTATTTCGCAAAAGTACTTTGCCGACTTGGGCGATGCTGAACAGTGGATCCGCGACCGGATGCCGTTGACGAACAGCCAGGACAACAGCAAGGACCAAGCGGCAGCCGAGTCGCAGCTGCGCCGCCTTGGATTGCTGGAGAAGGAGGCGATCAAATTCCGCGAGGAAATTGATCGGTTGAAGGCGACGGCTGACCGACTTGTGCACGACGACCACCACGACACGACGCAGATTGCCGCGCGGCAAAACCGGCTCGAGGGCTCGTACGCGGAGCTGATCCGTGCCATCGGTGTCCGCAAGACGCATCTGGCCGACTCGAGCCGATACCACGCCTACGTTCGCCAGGCCGACGATCTTATGGACTGGCTGCATGAGAAGGAACGCGCTGCCGCTGCCGACGAGTACGGCCGGGACCTCGAGGAGTGTCAGAGGTTGATCGAAGAGTTCGACACTGTCGTCAGGGAACTGGCGGCCGCTGGCGAGCGTGTGGCTAGTGTCAATCGCACGCAAGAAGAGCTCCTCAGGACCGGACATCCGTTTGGTACGTGAATTCGGGATTTTGATTCCTCAATAGGATTCACCGGTGCCCAAAACCCGCATCGAGGGCTTTGGACGCTGGAATGTAGACACACACGGAAGGAATAATTTTCTGGTTTTAGGTGCCTCGATCCGTGCCAAGGGCGACGATCTCTCTCGACTTTGGCAAGGCGTCAACGAAAGCGCCAATGAGCGTCAACAAGCCCTCACCGGTGCCAAGCAAGTGCATCGCTTCGACCAAGAGGCCGACGAGACGATCAACTGGCTGCAAGAGAAGGAAGCCGATGGTGTGGCCCTGGAGAACGTCGACCTGACCGCCGCTGACCTGAACACGCTGACCAGCGAGCGGCAGCGCCTCGAGGAGTTCATCCATGGGCTGACGGCCGTGGAAAAACAGGTAGCTTTATGTCAACTTTCGGCTATTTTCTTTGCCATTTAGGTGACCGAGCTGTGCCGGGAGGCCGATCGTCTCGAGAGCCTTTACCCCGCGACCAAGGACCACTTGCTTGGCCGGAAGATGGACATGAACATGCTACTCAACGACATCACCGAGAGCGCCAATAAGCACCGCGAGCGGCTTAGCCACACCGAGCAGCTGCAGGCCTACTTCCAGGTATAACCAGCTGAAAATAGTGGTTTATTGAGAGCTATTTTTAGGAACACCGAGAGCTCATCTCGTGGATCAAGCGTCTTTTTACAACAATCACCGCCGAGACGCTCCCGAAAGACGTGCACGCTTGCGATGCTTTGGCCAACCGGTACTTTTGGCTTTTACGCGGTCAACTCGTTTTAGACACAATGAGTATCGTTCGGAGATGATCGGCCGCAAAGGACATATCGATTCGTTCTGCAACCGAGGACGATCGCTCGTTCAACAGGGCCATGTCCTTTCCCAAGAGATCCAACGTAAGGTCGAACAGCTCGAGCGTGCTTACCATGGCGTCGAAAGCGTGGGTTCTCCCTTTTTTGCTCATCTGATTAGATTTTAGGTGTGGAACGAACGAAACGAGCTCTACGTAGAGAACATGGACGTGCAGCAGTGGAAGGCCAACGCGAATACGCTGGAACAATGGATGACGGAAAGGGAGAACCTCCTCGGCGACGATTGGAAGTATGTCGATTCGGTGGCCACCGCCGACGAACGGCTTCGCGACTTTGACGACTTCCTGGTGACCGTCGATGCTCAAGGAGAACGGTGCGAGGGTGTCAAGAGGCAGACGCTGCTTGAAAAGAACTTCTCACGCCAGCTGCAAAGAGAGGTTGTTTTTTTGTGTGTGCATCCATTACCCCTGTCTTTCTAGGCCGAACGCCGACTTGACCAAGAGGAAACAACGCGAAGGCGCGATACAATCAAGGTCGTCGAGAAGGGCAACCTGTTGGCTAACCGAAGGCAAGACCGTGAGAGGAGGAAGACTCAGGTAACTCTTCCCAAATCATTAAATTTGTGTTTAGGAAATCAGTCTGATGAAGCCGTCGGCCTCTGGTGAAGATTTCGCCTCGCAGACGCTGCCCAGGAAGCTGGATGGCCGACTCGAGCGCAGCAAGACGACGGCTATTGGTAATTTCCGATTCTTTTGCGCAACGCGTTGTTCAGGTGAGCCGGTGGTGTCTGTTTCTGGGCCCTCGACGTTGCCAATCGTTGGCTCGGCGTCCCATCACGGCGACGCGTCGACCAGCAGCCTGTTGGCGCCCCATCATGAATTTCCGCAATCCCAGATCCACACCGTCACGCCAGGATTCAGGTGAGAGTTTTTTCAGTGGTGGCTTAATCGTATCTTGGTTTAGCACCCGCCGCGGCACTTCCATCCGCCGTTCCAGTGGCCATCGTATGGCTAACGAGCAATCCTCGATTGATATGACTGGGTATATCTCATTTAATAAACACTTACCTTTTTTTTCCAGCTACGTCGACCGCAAACAAGAACTGCAGTCCAGCGGCAAGAAGGCGACGCTCCGATCGTGGAAGAACTACTACACAATCCTGTGTGGCCAGCTGTTGTGCTTCTTCAAGGACGAAGAGGCTTTCATGAGCAACAATGCCGCATCGCCACCGGTCTGCATCTACAACGCCATCTGTCAGCAGTATCCGGAATACGCGAAGCGCAAGAACGCCTTCAAGTATGTCTTTGAAAATGTTGTGGAATTGGCAGTTTTAGCCTGGGGCGAAGAGCACATATTATCAGGTATCAAAGAAACGGGGGAAGGGGTGGCGCGAGGGAGACTTTTCTGATGAGAACTGTTTCATTATCCATTTTTTGTTGCCAACGTTTCAACTGTCCCGGGAAAACCTCGTAACCGCATTTCAACCGAATTAACTGGGCGCGCAATTATTTTTGCCCGCAAAAAATTCTTGTTGTTCAGGCTGATCGCGCAGGATGGCGCCGAGTACCTGTTCGCCTGCAGCGAGGAACGACAAATGCTTGAATGGGTCGCTAAGGTATCTTTTCTTCGCGATTAGCGGGTCTTTTTGCAGCGCGAGGATCGGCTTTTTAAAAATGCCTTTTTCAGATCAAATTCCACGCTTCGCTGGAGCCGTCGGCCCAGTTGACCGCCTTCAGTCAGAGTGCCGCGATGGAGCTGTCCGCGCATGGACACGTCCCCGTCCCACCGCCCCGGAACATCCCCTATCAGGTCTGTCGTTTTCCCCTTCCGAGTCAATTCGGATTTAGCCAACCTCTCGCTCCGGCATCTTGAAGAGGCAGCACGAAATGGGCACCTCACAATGGACCGATTCGGGCCCCGACAAGCGTCGTGCCAGCCAGCTGAGCAGCGACTTTGCCGATTTCCAAGGTATTTTTGGTGCTTGACGCGTATTTTGCTTTGGTTGAGCGGTTGGCAGTGCTTGGGTTATTTATCGGGTTCGACGAGCTCCTTTGGTTTCCGCTGTCTCTTATTTGACCCCTAAACTTAATTAACCTTTCGATTTAAGCCCAGAAATGTTTGACATCGAGGGAAATGTTTTCCGCTTGCTTGCTTCTTTACCTTCGCTTGAATAATGGCTTGCTCTAACCTGGCTTCCGTTAGGATGTGTTACGCTGCCCAGGCGCAGCACTTCTGCGGCCGGCAGCAGAAGAACTTCCGCGCGAAGAAGACGAGAAACTCGTCGAGCAGCAGCTGGAGCAGGCTGAAGGCAAGGGGAACTACTGCACGCGGGACTTCTTTTGTTTGTTTCTTGGTGGATGTAGTGTCTTGATGTCTCGCATTTGGGCTTTATTTTGGTGCATGGTAGAACATAGGCCAAGTCATTGTCTGGGGTGGCTTGATAACTCGCTGACATGCTTGCCCAAAACGAAGCCAACTCGCTGGACAATGATTTGCACTTTGCACTATTTTATATATTTATATATACCCTGATTTTAAGTATTCTATTCTAGGGAACCGTCCTGATGTCTACCGAGAACGAGCTTCCACCCAGCAGTCGCACACCAGCTCCAATGGTCATGTCAGTGATCAATTTTTTTTGCCTCGGAACGGTTTTTTAGCACGAGTATCGTCAGACGGCCAGCTACGAGAGGTCGGTGACTAGGGAGCGAGGTTTGGCTTTGACCATTTGCCTAGATATTTCCTTTTTCCAGTGAACGAGGGCTCCCAATTCATCTCGCGGGTCGAGGAGCAGAACAACCCACACGCTGCCGCCCCCACGATGTCCAACCAGAACGGAGGCCATTCGGAGACGGACGACGATGCTTCTGTCAAGGGTTCAAGTGAGTGCTTTGGTTTTCGGCTGTCTATAGGCTGGACCGCATCGCGTTCCGGTCCTCATTTTATATTGTCTGGCGCCTCTAATTTGCTATTTTCAGGACGCCGCGGTTTCTCGTCGCTCTTCTCGCGCTCCTCGAAGAAGTCGAGCAAATAACCTCTTCTCCAATACGGCTACCCATTTCGACCCCAAAAAGAAGACACCCACACATTCTCTTTCGTTTTCCGATGAAATCGTGTCCCACATCCCTCACTGCTCAATCTCGTTTCTTTTATTGCTATTTGTTGTTTTGTGCAAAAGAATTATAGTCCCTAATTTTTTGTCCCTTCCCCCTACCCTGTCCACAAATAGCTAAAGGTTTATTTATCCCCGTTAATTCTTTTGTCGTTTGATTCCCCGGGCTCTTTGACACTAATAAACGTTCTCCCAACCATCCACTGTTTTTCATCGTGCTTGTGCAGCAGATAGACTTCGGTTTTCAACATCTTTGCGTGCGTGGTTAGACGTTTATTAAAAGAAGACAATTAAGATTATTGCGAAATCTAGGTTATTTTTTTTGATGGCTATTCGGTGTCTCCGGGCGGCATCGCGCCGTCCTCCTAGGAAAAGAAGTTATGCATGGATTTGCTGGAACCGGCGCCTAGGCACATTAGGGCCATAAATTAGCGCGTCGTATCTTTAGTATAGTTGATAGTGATGTAAATATTTCTTGCCTTGTCATCAGAAGGGGACACCTTCACTCCAATGCTGAGCCTTTGGCCATCCTGCAGACCGGTCAGAGGCCTGGGAAGCACGATGTTTGGGGATAAATTCGGCTGAAACTCACGCACTCCGGTGCAGCCTCCCTTGACGCATTTCTGCCCGAGTTTCACCGCCGCGACGGGTTTCCTAAATGATTTTGGTACCTTGTCGCTTGTGGTGGCATGTTAAATAAAAAAAGCGCACTTCCTGACAAGCGCCACGTGAACTGTCTTTAGCTAAAGTCTGGATGTCAACGCTATTAACATCTTTAGCTCACTTTGCCTAGGTTTCTCTGGACAAAGCCACGCCATGGCTGCCCGTAGTCGTCTTCTGCTGCTTGCACCAGATGCAATGAGCCGGTTTAGTTGTTGTCGGCATACCACGGCCCAGCTTTGGCCGTTTCTTAAAGAAGTATCTATCCCCGGACTTTTTCGGCCCAAGCCGAATTTTATTTTGTAAATAGCGGGTGCGTTTCTACATTGCTTTTAACTGTTCCTAAGCATAAAAACTTTACAAATTTGAATTAAAAATTTAATTTTAGTTTGGAAAATTGATTGTTTCGACCCAAAATGACCAAATTATCGACTTTGTCAAACATTTTCCTAACTTTTTTTAAGACACCCTCTACCTTTACTTTAAATATAACTATAACATAGTAGAAACTATGTAAAAACACTTTAATATCCGATTGCTAGGCCATCCGCGGCCGCCAGGGAAAAAGTTGGTTCCCCTTCCGCGGAAATCTTAAGGAACCACCCAAAACACTAATCGGTCCGGGACGCGACTTACAAATGTTAGCAAATTGAACGAGCTGTGTCGTGGACCGATTTTATGAAACAGTGATGGATGTTGCTTGAATGTTATTGGTGAAAACAAAGCGAAGTTTCTGTGTTTAGTTCGGGCCAAATTTGCGATTCCACATCAAATCTTTATTCGTGTACGATCACCCGAATTTCGATCAAATTTTATTGGCGGTGAATCACCATGGTGCTGCTGTGCGCCGGGTTGTACTCGATGAAGTTGTCGTCGCTGCGCTCCGGTTTCTCGTCATCGGCCTTCTGCGCCTAAAGCACATTTGGCCAAGGCGTTGTTTTCCTGCCTTGAAGGTGGCGGGGACAACTCGGGACGTGGACGACGTGGAAAATACCCCTAGTGACGTGAAAAATCCCGCTAGTGACGTGAAAAATACCCCTAGTGACGTGAAAAATACCCCTAGTGACGTGGAAAATACCCCTAGTGACGTGGAAAATACCCCTAGTGACGTGGAAAATACCCCTAGTGACGTGAAAAATACCCCTAGTGACGTGAAAAATACCCCTAGTGACGTGAAAAATACCCCTAGTGACGTCGAAAATCCCGCTAGTGACGTGAAAAATACCCCTAGTGACGTCGAAAATCCCGCTAGTGACGTGAAAAATACCCCTAGTGACGTGAAAAATACCCCTAGTGACGTGGAAAATACCCCTAGTGACGTGAAAAATACCCCTAGTGACGTGAAAAATACCCCTAGTGACGTGAAAAATACCCCTAGTGACGTGGAAAATACCCCTAGTGACGTGAAAAATACCCCTAGTGACGTGAAAAATACCCCTAGTGACGTGAAAAATACCCCTAGTGACGTGGAAAATACCCCTAGTGACGTGAAAAATACCCCTAGTGACGTGAAAAATACCCCTAGTGACGTGAAAAATACCCCTAGTGACGTGGAAAATACCCCTAGTGACGTGAAAAATACCCCTAGTGACGTGAAAAATACCCCTAGTGACGTGAAAAATACCCCTAGTGACGTGGAAAATACCCCTAGTGACGTCGAAAATATCCTTAGTGACGTGATAGTGATAATTTTCAATGCTTTAATCTATCCCGATGTTGGCAGAGGCAAAAATTTCTACGAATTTTGGGGGGTACGATCATTACTTCTAAAACCATTACTTCTAAAATCATTACTTCTAAAATCATTACTTCTAAAAGTCATTACTTCCAAAATCATTACTTCTAAAAGTCATTACTTCTAAAAGTCATTACTTCTAAAAGTCATTACTTCTAAAAATCATTACTTCTAAAAACGTTACTTCTAAAATTTGGTACGCCGGATTACCAGTTTTTCGGCACGCTTGGCCATATTTATGCCCAAAACGAAGCTTAGAATTTTAGAAGTAACGACTTTTAGAAGTAATGGTTTTAGAAGTAATGACTTTTAGAAGTAATGACTTTCAGAAGTAATGATTTTGGAAGTAATGGCTTTTAGAAGTAATGACTTTTAGAAGTAATGATTTTAGAAGTAATGATTTTAGAAGTAATGATTTTAGAAGTAATGGTGGGTAGCCAATTTTGGGATTGAAAAGCGAAAATTTATGCCGTTACGTGTCCTACTATTTCAGCATAAACATATTTTTTCAACAGCTCGATATTTTCTGTCTCCTTACCCATCTTTCTTGCCCACCCCTAATTTTCAATTGCCATGCGTCCTGGGATCTCCTTTTCTCGTCGATTTTCGAATTTCTAAAGCTTATTGATTGACATGAAATTTAAATAAGGCCATGCCATAAAACAAGAGAGAGCGAGAGAGAGAGAGAGAGAGAGAGAGAGAGAGAGAGAGAGAGAGAGAGAGAGAGAGAGAGATAATACACATTTTCCCCCTTCAAAAGCATTTATTCTTTCCAACAAAAAATTTGGACAAGTATTCAGACAAAGCGAGAGAATTAGCGAAACGGGGGTGGTAGAAAATGCGAGATCAAGTGTAGTTTGGTTCTTCTTTTTAATTGGCGTTGATGGGAGGCAGGAGAGGGGAGCACGAGAGGGACGAGAAGGACGAGGGGGAGCCCGAGGACACACTTCAGCGCCTCTTCTGCTTCTGCAAGAAAAGACTCTAATAAAAAAAATAGTAAAGTGTGTTTCAAGCCGAAAAACAATAGAAAAAATCCAGAAAATTCAAAAGTCGTGGCTTACGATGCTCTTCTTGCTCTTTTTGCTCTTGTTGCCGCTGCGCGACTGCTCCTGGTATTTCGACGAGCGCGGCGACGGGGCAAACTGAAACAGGGAAATAATGGCTGATTAAAATTGTTTATTAAATCGGGTATCGTTTTTAATTAACTATTTTTTTCTTCAAAAAACCCCACACCTTCAGGTCCTCACGCGTCGGCCCGGGCTCCTGCAATGGAATAGTAAAAAAAGTAGTTAAAAAAGCAGGTTAGAGGGCAGTTTACCCCCCAGCCGGCACCCAACTTTTGTATCTCGGCTCCCTGTTCATCTACAGGTGTATAAAGTATACCAAAACGTTCGCCTTGCCTTGGCGAGTATTTTGGTATACTTTACGACCCGGTACGATGACGCGGAGCCGAGATACGGTAGGTGGTGGTCGGCTGGGGAAGGGGGGGGGGTGTAAAGTGAACCAGAGCCAATTTGCGCCCCCTACATCGGCATTGTCGGCGGTGAGTGGTGGCGGGCCGTGGATCCGGATCGGGTCGTGGTCCATCAGCTTCAGCTGCTCCTCGCATTGGCACCGCTTCGCGCCGCCCTTCACCTGAAGAAAAGGCAACATTGGCCAGTCAAAAATAAATGTTTCCGCGCTAAATAGTGAAAAAGGCTCAAGTCTAGGAAACCCCCCAGCCGACTTCAACTTCTACCTCCTTATTTTATTTTCGCCTTCGACTGACTGCATGTGTCTTCTAATTAGCCCGGCGCTTTGGTATCTTTGGCTCGCTAGCACAAGGGGGGCGAACTTGGTGCCGGCTGGGGGTTCAGACTGTGAAAAATAGCAATTACTGACCCGTAAATACCACAAAAATTTTCGTTTTAAAATTAGATCGTAAAAACAGGCGAGCGTCATACCCAGGCGGCGTGCTCGGCCTCCGTCTCGAAATCGTAGCGATCCGTCATCTTCACGCGACATCTGCAATTACAGTACAGTGAGGTCCCTTGTTACTAATTCAAGGCCATTCAGTTGCACCAAATTTGTAAAAATAAATTTTGGTGTTTTTAAAGCCTAAATAACGGGATCTTTAATCTATGTCTAACTTTCCAAGCCTAAGCCTAAGTCTAAGTCTAAGTCTAACCTATACCTAAGCCTAAGCCCAAACCTAAGCCCCAGCCTAAGCATAAACCTAAACCTAAGCCCAAGCCTAAGCCTAAGTCTAAGCCCAAACCTAAGCCTAACCCAAACCTAAGCCCAAGCCTAAGCCAAAATCTAAGCCCAAACTTAAGCCTAAACCTAAGCCTAAACCTAAACCTAAGCCCAGCCCCAAACCGAAGCCCAAACCTAAGCCAAACCCAAGCCTAAGCCCAAACTTAAGCCCAAACCGAAGCCGTACCCCAAACCTAAGCCTAAGCATGCCCAAGAAAAGCCAGTTTTCTGCAGTTGCAGTACCTCTTCATGATGGCGAGCAGCCCCTCGTAGACGGTACGGTAGTTTGGGCGCGAGTAGAACGTCAACAGGCGCAGCGCTTGGAAGTTGCCGTCGAGTTCGGCTGCAAAGCGGTACTTTAATTTACCGTACTTTACGTACCTGGCAAAAACTTGGCGAGCTCGCCGGGGTGCTCCTCGAAGTAGAGCTTCTTCGACGAGATGTCGTCCTTGTCTGCAAAATCATGGATTTCAGGGGATACGCTAAGAGGTTTCGATTCTGAACTTTTAGCAGGGGTGAACGAGAATTTCCAGGTAATTCCCCCCTGCTAACAGCCCAGTACCCCCCGCAAATGCCTTAGTACCGTACTTTTGTCCTCCTGCCACGGTAACCCCGAGTGCAGCTCGATGAACATGAACAGCAGCGAGTAGATGTCATCACGGCGGCCGAGGTCCTCATCCCGATGCATATTTGGTGACGCGTAGCGGTAGGTGCCGCGGAAGTCGATGCGCTTACGCGCCCGTCGCGCCTCCCATTGGCCACGCGAGCGGAGGGCGTAGCTTCTGAAAAGAGGCGCGCATTAATGGTAGGGAGGGGGGAGAGAGCGGGAGAGAGCGGGAGAGAGCCGAGAGAGAGACGGAGAGAGAGAGAGAGAGAGAGAGAGAGAGAGAGAGAGAGAGAGAGAGCGAGAGAGAAACCGACCGCGCGAGCCCAAAGTCGAGGATGTGCAGGATGCGGTACTTGGCCGTGTTGTCGCCGTGGCCGAAGACGATGTTCGTCGGCTTGATGTCACGGTGGACAAAGCCGCAGTCGTGCATCAGCTGAAATAACGTCAGATTCAAGAGGTCCTCAAGGATCCCAGCTAGCACGCCACCCCACCCCCAACACTCCGTACCTTTAGTGCGTGTAGCGACTGTATGCCCCATCGGCTCCAATCCCTCTCGGGCACCTGGTCGTTCGGGTACATGTTCTTGATACCCTTCAGGTTCCGCCCCAGCAGGTCCATCACCATGTACACGTATCTGCAGATTAGGCTCTCTCTTGCTCTCACTCTTTCTCTCTCTCTCTCTCTCTCTCTCTCTCTCCCTCACTCTCTCCACCCACTTGATGTGCTTGCGGGCGAAGAAGTAGTAGGGGAAGTGCGGCATCCCGCCCTTCGGGTTGATTTGCCCGAGGACGTTCGCCTGAAAGAGCAGGCAGGCTAGCAGTGATTTTCAGGGAATGGATACCTCGAGCTTAATGGCCGATCCGCCCTCCATGTCCGTCGCCTCGACCTTCAGCGCTGCGTAGCGGTTCTCGTTCTCCAGGTCGAGCACTTTGTACACGCGGCCGAAGCCGCCCTCGTCCAACTTCTTCACAATCTGCCAGCGCTTGCCGATCCTGGAAAGATGCCTATACGTGTGTACTGCACTTCGCTAGAGTACGCAAGTGTACGCTAGAGTACGCAAGAGTACTGTTCTGTACGCAATAGTACGCAGGAGTACAATACTGTACGCTAGACTACGCAGGAGTACTGTAATGTAGTGTACGCTTCAATACACTACACGCTACCGTAACGAAAGTGTACTCAATCGTACGCTAGAGCACGCACGAGTCCCGCACTGTACGCAGGAGCACGCCACAGTACGCTATGCGTTAAAGTAACGAAAATGTGCTCAAGCGTACGTTGGAGTAAGCAGGAGTTTCGTACTGTACGCAAGAGTAGGCCGCCGTTCTCTATGCGTTCAAGTAACGAAAGTGTGCTCAAGTGTAAGCTAAGGTACGCAGGAGCAACGTACTTGCTAAGCTACAGTGCCCAATATAATGCTACATTACGTTACAATACACCAGATTACCCTAAAATATGCCAGAGTACGTTGCGGACCATTGACGTTACCGTAAGCTGCAATTCGCTACCGTACACTACAGTACACTCCGCTACGCCACGTTACTACTCCCACTTTCTTCCGTCCTTGAATCGAATCATCCCATGGGAGTCGTTGTCCATCGATTTGTCCTCTTTCGGGTTCTCGTCGCCCATTTTCGCTGAAATTCGGCATTAATGAGAGGGCTTGCGTTCAGGGTCAGGCTTCAGCGTCCGAATCGTGTGAAAACTTCTTCAAAAAATTTTCGCATTAGCATAACTCACCGATTTAAATGTAGCCAATAGAAACAGTGGAATAAGGTAGAAATGCTCATTCAGAACCCTGGTTCTTTTTTAAGGGTCGCGTCCTATGCATATTTTTGGGACTTCCGGATTTAGATTTTTGTATTAGCAGCCTCATTAAAATTCTATGGCAATCAATATACTTTACGATTAGAAAACAAAAATATTTCGGGATTAATGACATGAAAATTAGGAGGGTAAGAGTCTCGAAGACTCTCTGTTAGCCTGCCCTCCTCTCGGGGTCCGTCCATTTTCTCAAAAAATCTCTGCTAGCCTGCCCTCCTCTTCTCTTTCCTCTTTTCTAAACAACCTTTACTAGACGGCAAATTTTCATTTCCCGGCGAGTAACCAGCTTCAGAAATTACGTGAGCGCGTCGCGGCAGCTGACGCAGATTGGAGCGCCGAGTTTGCCCCCCGCTTAATACGAAGAAACCGTTTCCTATTGCAGTAATCAAATTTCCGCCCCATTGGCCCTCTCTATCGATCGAAAAAGCTTGTTCACAGTGGTACAGGGTGGTAACTTGGCAGAAAAACTAACGTTTATAAAAACATTCGGCGAAATGAATGCAAATCCAATCAGGAATCCCGGAATTACAGGAGCCTCGCCGGCCGAAACGTTCATCTACAGTTGCTCAACAAGCTGACAACCGAGCTGAGGTATGTCGAATTACAGCTCGTAATCGATCCGGCCGTCCAGGTATGGCTAGTTTAACCAAATTTTCCCACGTAATCCGGCACGGGGCCCTATAGCGCAATACAATTTATTTTGTTCGTCTTTTCTACAGTTTTTGGATATAAAAACGTTCTAAAAATTTGAAAATTTTTATCAAAATGTAGGAGCAATTTCAAAAGTTTGAAATGTTTCAAAATATCAAAAATCTCGAAATTTTCAAAAATCTGCAATATTTTTTATAACTTTTTAGGATGCCATTTTTCAGATTTTTGAATTTGGACGCCTCGATGCCAACAGCTCCCTTCCGATCGGGTAGGCCCCTTTAGTTGGGAATTCTGGGGTCCCATGGCCTGGACAGCCCACAATCCGCAAACGTGCTCCGGGGGGGGTCGAACCCGCATCCTCGGCTTCGGTCCGTGCCTCTATTGCCCGGGGGCCCGGTGCCTCTCTCGGGCACTTCCTCCCCCCACCCTTTCTCTCTATCCCTCTCTCTCCCTCTCTCTCTCTTCTTAGGTAAATAAAATTTATTCAAGTGCAAATCAAATATAGAGCAATCAAATACATGTATATTAATAATGGGCCCTGAGATCACCAGCAAAACCGACCGGGGACAACTTCACAAAAAGGACAATTTGTGCAGCAAATTAGCATCTTAAAGGGGTGAGCATGACTAATATTGGAAACATGACACACGGGGAAAGACATGACTAGATTAGGCGAACTCGAAAATAGATGACTATTGATTTAAAAAAAAAAATAAAAAAAAAAAAAACATCGAAAAAAATACTATTATGGATAAACTATCGTAATCGATTGCCGCTATCCAAGGTGGCCGCAGATGTAGTTGTGCAACTGGAAAATGGCGAATTTGAATAAGCGAGAAACTAAGCTTAGGCTTAGCTTGGGCTTAGCTTAGGCTTGGCTTAGGCTTAGCTTAGGCTTAGCTTAGGCTTAGCTTAAGCAGCTAGCTTAGCTTGGCTTGCTAGCTACTAAGTTCACTTAGGCTTACAGGCTAGCTTCGCTTAGCTTAAGTTCAGCTTAGGCTTAGCTTAGGCTTAGCTTACGCTTAGCTTAAGTTCAGCTTAGGCTTAGCTTCGCCTTAGCTTACGCTTAGCTTAAGTTCAGCTTAGGCTTAGCTTAGGCTTAGCTTAGGCTTAGCTTAGGCTTAGCTTCGGCTTAGCTTACGCTTAGCTTAAGTTTAGCTTAGGCTTAGCTTAGGCTTAGCTTAGGCTTAGCTTAGGCTTAGCTTAGGCTTAGCTTAGGCTTAGCTTAGGCTTAGCTTAGGCTTAGCTTAGGCTTAGCTTAGGCTTGGGCTTAGGCTTGGGCTTAAGCTTAGCTTATGCTTGGGCTTAAGCTTGAGCTTAGGCTTGGCTTAGACTTGGCTTAGCCTTGGCTTAGACTTAGGCTTCACTTACCCCTATTGCCGTAAATGCAGATAGAACGATCCCAAAAGGCGTCCGACATCGAGGCGATCGATAAGGAGTACTCCTTCACGTCGGGGGGTATCTGGAAAACGGTGTTAAAGGGGTTAGGAAGCGGGGTCCGGCTATGGAATTTGAGGTCAAAATGGCCCAAGCAATCTGTTTCTGAAAAAATTAAAATTCCTACATTCTTATGAATCCAGTTGAACGTGTTGACATAGCTGGCGCCGCCGTAGAAGCCCTCAACCAGGATCAGGGCGAACACGATCGAGATGTGCGGCAAGAAGGCGTACCGCGCCTCGAAGAAGAAGAACACCGCGTTACCGAGCTGGAAGAGAGAGCGGTTGGAGAGAGAGAGAGAGAGAGCGAGAGAGAGAGAGAGAGAGAGAGGGAGAGAGAGTGAGAGATAACGAGTTTTCTTACCTGCAATATCGGCAAAATAAACAGCACGATCAACGGCAACTCGATGATGTTGACCGACGAGCGGGAGAAGAACACACCGACTTGATACAGGACCTAACGCGATTTTCAGCTTGTTTCGTTTTCTTATTTGTACCTGATACCACCGATATTGGCTGCTCTTCGACAACCGGAAGCCCTCCTTGCAGTTGAAGTAGATGAGTTGCGTCTAACAACAGAAAAATTAATTTTTAGGGTAAAACTGACCAATCCCTGGTTGATGAGGTATTCGGCAAAGTAGACGACGGAGAGCGGGATCATCAACTTGAGCAAGGGCTAAAATGAATGCTCTGTCGCTGTCTCTTTCTCTCTCTCTCACTCTCTCTCTCTCTTTCTCTCTCTCTCTCGCTCTCTCTCTCCAAAAACTCACCACAATCAAGCTCATCTTCTCCTTCATGTTGGTTACGCGCTGCGGGACCCGAGCATCTTGCTCACTCTTTTCTAGAAATTAAAACAAATGAGGAGTTTTTATCTGTCGCTTTCTCTGCCATTTTCTCTCTCTCTTTCTTTCTCTCGCTCTCTCTTGTTCTCTCTGTCTCTCTTTCGCCCTCTCTCTCCCTCTCTCTCTCCATCTCTCTCTCTCATCCAAAAACGAACCACTCTTTTCCATGTCCTGCTCGCCCTCGTACGCCTGAAAATATTTTCTTTTTTTTACAGTTTACAGTAATTTTCTCAACGTAATTTGGAAAAAACGTACATGCGGTATGACCCAGGTGGTTGGGCTGACGCGAGGAGTGTATACGGTAGCCGGGAATTCTAGCAGGAGCCAGTAGGCTATGGCAAAGATCACGGGAATTACCTGAAATCGAGCATTTTTGGAGCTTTTGAGGATTTTAAAGGGACGTTCAAGGTCCCGGAAAGCAACAACGTTCTGGATTTTCCTTCCGGATACATTGAACCTCCTGGAAAAACTTGCCAGCATGACCAATAGAGCATTTTTCGGTGAAAGATTTCCGAGATGTGGTTCAGTAAGGGCAGCGTATGCGAAGGAGCCTGCAAAAAACTTTCATTAGTGCGCCATAAGCCTAAGCCTGAGTCTAAACCTAAGCCTGAGCCCAAGCCGAAGTAAGCCTAAGCTTAAGCCAAGCCTAAGCCTAAGCTAGCACAGATTTTTTTCAAACTTACCGACCACTCCCGCTCCTCCCGTCCCAGAAGACCAGGCAGAGATGACGTTACGCGAGAAGTGAGAGGACAGTGAGAGGTACGTCGTCTCACCCACCCCGGAACCAGCAGAGGCGAGAACGACACCTGGAAGTACAAGTAATCTTCGTAATCACAAAGTCAAAAAGCAATAGCTCAGACCTAAAGAGAGAGAGAGAGAGAGAGAGAGAGAGAGAGAGAGAGAGAGAGAGAGGAGGGGAGGGGAGAGAGAGACGAGAAATATAGAGAGACAGAGCGAGAGAGGGAGAGAGGCAGAGAAAGACGCTTCAAAGCTTCAAAGGCTTACCAAGTAATGAAATCGGGTACGACGTCGAGAATGCGACGACAAGGTACGAGGCAATTTGAAGGGCAATCACCAGAGTGTGGCGGAATCTGGAAAAACGAGTTTCTGGGATAGAATATTCTCTTCAGTGCCACCTAACGCTTTCAATAAAACGTACCCATATGGTACCCGGCCCATCAAAAATGGCATGGTGGCCTTGATGATGAGGGAGGGGAGGATGTCGGCTAGGAGGACACCACCGACTGATTGGCCATCACAGGCTCGTGCTCCAAGGCTGTCCTGAAATTCGGGATAAAAGAGAGAGAGAGAGTGAGAGAGAGAGAGAGAGAGAGAGAGAGTGATAAAACTTACCAAACAAGACGAATTCTTGTGTTCAGATTCCTTATGTTGCTGTTGCGAGATAATGTCCTCGGCGGCGCTCAACATGATCACGTATCCATAATTGTTACATAGACCGAATATCCTGAAAAATTGGAGATACCACTTCTCTCTATCCCTTTCTCTCTCGCTCTCTCTCGCTCTCCCCCCCCCCCCCCCTCTCCTCTTTCCCTTTCCTCTCTCCTCCCTCCCCCCCCCCCCCCTCTCGCTCTCTCTCCCTCTCTATCTCTCACCAAAAAGCGACAATATTCCTCCACATCGACGTGGAGCCCCACTTGGCTGTCATCGCTGGAGCTGCCTGATTAGAGCCGTTTTGAATTTGGTTTCTAAATGTCTAAACTTAATTAGGTAAGGTTATAATCGAATTGGCTAAAAATCAGAATTAAGTAGAGCAAGCTAGCAAAGAACATTTGGGAATAGAAAAAGCGGGTGTGTGGTGTCTGGCCATACAGCAGGCTGCCGTGGCTACTTATCAGCACGGCCTAGCCACCCTCAAAAAGCAATTCCGTTTTTTTCTAGGCATATTAAAGGTTGGAGGGATTTTGGAGGAGGTGGAAATGGAATTTGGGAATGAAGGGAAGAAAAGGAAAAGGTTAGGTTGCTGGTCTCTTACTTTCTCCTCTCTGTCTCTCTCTCGCTCTCTCCCGCTCTCCCTCACTCTCTATCACCCTCTCTCGCTCTCTCTCTCTCTCTTTCTCTCATCTCTCTCTCACTCGCTCACTCTTTCTCTCTCCCGCTCAGGCTTGGGCTTAGGCTTAGCTTAGGCTTGACTTAGACTTAAGTTAAGGCTTAGGTTTAGGCTTCGGCTCCCTTGGGGTTAGGCTTGGGCTTAGGATTAGGCTTAGGCTCAGGCTTAGGCGTAGGCATACGGTTGGCTTGGATTTTTTCGACTGAATTCCGCGATTTCAAAAAATCTGCGGTCCATCTGGCTCAACGCCCCGATTAGCAAAAATTTAGGTAAGGGGGTGGCAAAAGGCAAAAAAACGGATCCGGTGGAATCAGAAGAACCAGCCGCCTCGGACAAGAGGACACGGCTACCTGACTGATAAAGGCATGGTGAAGCCGGGGTGGACAGGGTGAAGAACAACTGGCCACCCACTTTGGCACGTGGCGAAGGGGATTTGAAAAAAATAGTCAATTATTCGAAGGGTGTGATCGCGGAAAAGCCTTGGGTTCTAAGCACGAGCCAGGCATTTTATGGACACGCAACACGCGGCGCGTTTCACCACAAATTGAACGTGTCGCGGGCCGGGCGGAACCCTAGAAAGTACTAATAAGCCCTTGGAAAACGGTGGTTCCCCGCCAATCCTATCATACCCAATCAACAATCTTTATCGGGAGAGTTAATAGAGATGATGATGATTGGGGAGTGTTGACAAAAACCGGGAAACCTGATCAAAAATAGGTCACTTGGGTAGAAACGGGATAGCTATTTTCAAAATAGTTTTTATTAAGACCTAGATGCCAAGGAGAATCATTTCTATGCGCCTTTAAAATTACGTGAAATAGGAGAAACTCATTGAATAAGTCTACTGGTTCATTCCAGCGTCGAATGATGTTGTAGTTAAAATTTTGAATTTGATTCCAACGCGCTTCTACGGAGGTATCGTTGCTTAAGGTAAAAAGGCCTAAGAGGTTTTAATTATACATTTTTTTTGCGTTAGCACTCCTTTCAAGCATAAAAATTGAAGGAAACAGAAGAGAAGAAGGCAAGATCTTTTAAAGTGCGCAAAACGTGCAAGAAAAGTCCGTATTTAAAAACGGCTAGAATATAATTTTGAAAGTTTTGGCATGCGATGCTTAAGAATCGGTCACCTATTTATAATCCTACCTTATATAATTTAGTCGCGTATCTTTGTCTGTGTGTGTGTGCGGAGGTCAGTTTCGAGGCCAGATTTGAGGGCCTTCCCGTGTCCAAAACGCCCCGATTCTCCGCCACTTGGGAGAATCGACCTTCCTCTTTCCGATGGCATTCTCAGAATTTCGATAAAATAGAAGTTTACAAATTTAAAGCCGGTTTTATTCATTTTTGGGGTACCTGAGGGCTAATTTGCATAATGTGAAAAAATAGAAATTTCCTCATTCTTGCCAGTTGCACTCGCAAGTTTGGTCGGGGGCAGGGGGGTCGTCGGACCCGAGCTATCGGAAAGTCAAATTTCTCATGCCGATTTCTCATGGAAAGGCCGCATTCCAGCGCCCAAGGCCCGCGAAGCGGGTTTTGGGCGCTGGTTACCTATAATTACCTATCAAAAAAAAGGTTAACGATTTATAAAACCTATAAGAAAACGCAGCTTAACGATTGCCAAAGCCACCTATTCAATTCAGTATACCTTATGGTATCGAAAACCTTTAATATCTATAGATCTGCCTTCAATGGCCCTTTAACCCCCTCAAAACCATAAATAAAACTGTTGAATCAGCTGACAAAAGTGCAACAATATTCCCGTGGCAACACCTTTTATAGAACCCCCTGCGAATCACCGCTCGCCCTCAAAAGGGCGCTTTTTAGAAAGTTGTATTGAATGGAGGTCAATTCCAAAAAGGAGATTCCCGGAATGGAATACAAGAGCGCAGAAAGAGAAGGATAAGGTGGAAAAGCATTGTCACAGACAGTTCAGCGCAAATATTTGAGGGTCCTCCTCTCTTTTTCCTATGCTTTGTCGCGAATGGGGGGACCCATTTCAGAGCGCCAACAAGAAAAGCCAAAAATCGGAGTATTATCAGCTGAGGAGGGGGAGGGGGAGGCGCTTCCTAAAAACCGGGAAAATAGATCGGGCGCCAATTTTTTGGGCCTGAAAAATAGAAAAAATGGTATATACTGCAAAGAAGGCAGGCTAGCAGGCCGATTTAGAATGAAACAGGGACTTGGGCAAGCTAGCAGAGTTGGAAATATTTAGCTTGGAACTGAGGCAGAGAGCATTTGTGCGGAAATTGGGGGTTTGAGTAGGCTGGCAAAGGCCATTTCGGAGAAAATTGAGCTGGGACAGGCTAGCAGAGGCCATTTGAGAAAAATTAGGGCCGGGGCAAGCTCGCAGGGACCATTTAGGAGGCAACCCAGGTCCTGGCAAGCTAGCAGCGACCCCTTAAGATGAAATTTGGGTGAGGATGCTAGCAGAACCATTTGAGAGAAAATTTAGCTTGGGCATACTAGCAGAGGGCATTTAGCCGGGAATTGAGCTGGGGCAGGCTAGCAGAGACAATTTGAGCGGGAATTGGTGTTTGGGCAAGCTAGAAGAGGTGATTTGAGAACCCATGGTCATGGTAGGCTAACAGAGACAATTTGGGAACAAATTCAGGGCTTCGCAAGATAGCAGAGACCTTTTAGGAAAAATTCGGAACTTGGGAAAGTTAGCGGAGAGCATTTGGGAGCAATTCCGGTTTGGGCCGGCTAGCAGAAATCTGCTGGGAAAACAGCATTGGTGGGAGAGAGCGCGATAGTGCAAGGGTGAGAGAGGGAGCGTGAGAGAGGGAGCGAGAGAGAGAAATCATCCAAGAAGCCCTGCTCGCTTGCCGTTGCCTCTGAAAGCAAAAAGAAGCAAAATCGCCAAAAACCAAAAACGGCAACTTGTAACATCAGCTGCTATACGTAACTGTGCTCCCCGGGGGCTACAATACACTCCAAAAAACCGGGGGCTATCCCCGCCGGCCAACGGGAGCAAGGCCGGCCTCCGCCTTTTCAACGATAACCCCGAATTTTTACTGGTGTATTGTTTTTCTAGATTTACCCCCTCAATTCCTAGGCCACGCCCCTTTCACCAAGCATTTCAGCTTGTGCAAAACCCATCAAAGATTTGCAGCATGGGAATGAGAAAATTGATGACTCCGTTCAAATGTGAAATCAAAAAAATACCGGACGATCTAGGAGAAAAACAGGTTATCATCGGGCCGTTCACCCGGGGGAAGCGAAGGAAAATTTATAGCCAGGAAAATCGTGGGCGTGAAATAGGGGATTTTGGAGAGATGGATTTTATTGAAAATTACTGTAATCTCGACAATTCTAAAAGATGAAAAGCGGGCAGTCTAGCAGAAATCATCTGGGAACCTTAGCAATGGGCAACCTGGAATGCTAGCAGAGGTCATTTCGGAAAATGTGAGGTGTTTGATTCAACAAAAAACAAAACACGGAAAGGGGGGAGAGGGGGGGGAAAAAAAAAGGAGAAAAAAAAAGGAAAGAAAAAGGGGAAAAAAAAAAAGAAGATAACGGGGAAAGAGAGAGTGAGATAGGGTGACCGGACACAGTAAGAAGCGAGAGAGAGAGATCGAGAGAGATCGAGATAGAGGGGAGAGTGAGTAGGAGCGAGAGAAACATAGAGAAAGGTAACGTGAAAGAGGGGGAGAGAGGGAGCGTGAGCGTGAGCGAACACGGACGAGCACGACAGAGACCACGAGAAAACGAGCGATACGGAGCGAGAAAAAGAGACTTGGAAGGAGAGCGAGAGAGAGCGTAGAGGTATCCTGAGCGAGAGGGAGAGCGGGAGCGCGAGAGTCCGAGTGAGCATGATTTATACAGAAATCGCGTATGAGCAAGAGCAAGAGATAAAGAAAGATAAATTTTTGTTAGGTACGGTTACGATTTTTGTGATTATCTATCTAGTTATTTTCGCGAATACTGTAGCTGCTAGGATGTGTTATTCAATTACGCTATGGAAAGCGCGTGCCGACCGTTTTAAATGGGTCTCGACGATGCCATTCAGCCTCAAAATACAAGGTCCAAAAATCGCATAACCCGTGGAAAAAATCCCGAGAAATAGCCTTGATTTCGGATATCATGGCGGGCGGATCGGGGCGGAAAACAAAAAAATGGCCGCAGAAATTTGACAGTACTCCCGGGGGAGATCCATGGGGGAGATGCACACCGCATGAGTCGGGCTCCGCCTGGAAAGCCCCCGGAAGAGACAGTGGATTTCCTTAAAAGAACGCCCAAATATCACCCATCCATCATTTTGATCCACAGCCGCCCGGAAAAGACTGTACGCGCCCATCCCCTTCCCCCTCAACCTCCCCATCCACCACCCAGCCGTATGATCGACGGAATTTTGGGGACGTGTCATGGACAAAATTTGATGCCCCGAAAAGCACCCGTCACGTGGAGGAGTGGCTTTTAAAGGGTGCGGGAAGTCTGGGATTTGGATTGGCGCAGGTTTTGCTCTTTATACGACGTCGTCTAATTATCAAAAACAGGGGAAAAAGGAACGTTCGCGTAGAAGTGGTTAGACGATAGAGAACTTGTTGATGACGTCGCTGAACCTGTTGATCCCGACGCTGGTGGAACAGCACATAAATTGG